TGTTAAAATTTCTCCCTCTCGAGGGGGAAAAAAAATCTTTCTAAATACCACCCATTCTCTTGCACAAGGTTTTCAAGAATTATTTTAATGGATGAATCTGTTCTATATAGGTTTTTATACCACACTTATGCCCATAGCATGTGAGTACCTCCCAGTAGTGTGTTAAGCAATGTGACTTCACATCTGTCATGTGGTGTTTGTTCTCTCCTCCTCTTCCCAGTTGGAGAAATTTGTTCAGTGGAGTGCCATGTTTTGTAGGGTTTTTTATTTCTTAAATATCTGTTGCTATATGTTTTATATTAGAGAAGGCATGGTCAAAGAAATGAGTGCAAAGTGGTGAGGTTTGTGATGGTCCCTGGTTCTGGGGGGAGTTCATTGCAGTTTTGAACCACCCCGGAGAAGGTTCTGTCTCCCATCTGGTCAAGCTTTACTCTAAAGGTTGAGAGTTCCATTGTGACAGAGGAGCAAAGTTGTTGACCATGGGTTTTGTCCTGCAGCCTTAGACAGTCTTTTAGGTATCCAGGGGTTCAGGCCATGGGAGCATTTCGAAATTAAGGAACGAGACCTTGAACTTGATTCAGAATTCTATGGCAAATGAGTATAGGTTTTGATGTGCTCACGGTAGTCTGTGTTGCTAAGAAGGTAAGCTACTAGTTGGAGTTTCCTAAATGCTAAAGGTTTCATGCTCAGGTATATCTCTTTGCTGTAGTCCAGCTGACAGGTGGCAAAGGCATGAATAATTGAGGTCAGGTCTTTGTCCAACAGGATGGGATGGAGTCTCCCAGCCAATCAGAGATGGTAGAAGGTATTACTTGCTGGCATTGCAATGTGACAGCTCAGCATCAATGAGGAATCAAGGAGTACTCCTAGACTACGGACTGAGTTTGACCAATTGTGGAAGTGAACCTTCACTCAAAGGAGACTAAATTGTGGCTGCAAACTCTTCAAAATACTTTCCTCGGACCACCAGCATCACCTCTGTGTTGCTGAGCTTCAGCCAGCTGTTCGTCATCTATGAGTTGATCTCATCCAAGCACTGGGCCATCTGGATTGTAGTGGTGTGGTCATGTGTGATGAAGGATCGGTAGAGCTGTGTTATCTGCATGTTGCTGGCACTGGAATCCGTGTCATCTGACAAGTTCACCTAGTGATTGTATGAGAGGACCGGAGAGTGAATTGATCCTTGTAGAACTCCACAAGTGAGAGTTCTAGCAGTGGAAGTGCAATTTTCCATCTCTACTCTTTGGGTGCGTACTTCCAGGGAAGGACTCAAACCATTTTAGCACATTATTTGGGATTCCTGCCACACTTCTCAGGCGAGACAGCCGTATCTCATGGTTAACAGTGGATGTCTGTCCTCTATCTATTGATAGGAGGGGATCATTCATCAGTGCCAGTTCTATGTCTTGGCCTGAATCTAGGTTGTGCTGGATCTAGAATGTTACCATCAGTAAGATGAGTTCGTAGCTGGCTTGGTGCTAGCTTCTCTGAGTTTGCTCAGGAATGGGAGGTTTGACTGTGGATGTTAGAAGATAGCTGTCCAGGGTGGTTTTCTTCAGTGTTGGTTGGACTATTGCATAGCTGTGACCGTTCCCTCTCAACGCCTTCACCCTCCCCACAACATCACCACAGATTACTGGTTCTGTGGATGAAGGGAAAGCAGTGGATGTATTGTATCTTGACTTTAGCAAAGCTTTTGACACGGTCTCCCACAGTATTCTTGTCAGCAAGTTAAAGTAGCATGGGCTGGATGAATGCACTATAAGGTGGGTAGAAAGTTGGCTAGATTGTCGGGCTCAACGGGTAGTGATCAATGGCTCCATGTCTAGTTGGCAGCCGGTGTCAAGTGGAGTGCCCCAGGGGTCGGTCCTGGGGCCAGTTTTGTTCAATATCTTCATAAATGATCTGGAGGATGTTGTGGATTGCACTCTCAGCAAATTTGCGGATGATACTAAACTGGGAGGAGTGGTAGATACGCTGGAGGGCAGGGATAGGATACAGAGGGACCTGGACAAATTGGAGGATTGGGCCAAAAGAAATCTGATGAAGTTCAATAAGGATAAGTGCAGGGTCCTGCACTTAGGACGGAAGAACCCAATGCACAGCTACAGACTAGGGACCGAATGGCTAGGCGTCAGTTCTGCGGAAAAGGACCTAGGGGTGACAGTGGACAAGAAGCTGGATATGAGTCAGCAGTGTGCCCTTGTTGCCAAGAAGACCAGTGGCATTTTGGGATGTATAAGTAGGGGCATAGCGAGCAGATCGAGGGACGAGATCATCCCCCTCTATTCGACATTGGTGAGGCCTCATCTGGAGTACTGTGTCCAGTTTTGGGCCCCACACTTCAAGAAGGATGTGGATAAATTGGAGAGAGTCCAGCGAAGGGCAACAAAAATGATTAGGGGTCTGGAAACACATGAGTTATGAGGAGAGGCTGAGGGAACTGGGATTGTTTAGTCTGCGGAAGAGAAGAATGAGGGGGGATTTGATAGCTGCTTTCAACTACCTGAGAGGTAGTTCCAGAGAGGATGGTTCTAGACTATTCTCAGTGGTGGAAGAGGACAGGACAAGGAGTAATGGTCTCAAGTTGCAGTGTGGGAGGTTTAGGTTGGATATTAGGAAAAACTTTTTCACTAGGAGGGTGGTGAAACACTGGAATGCGTTGCCTAGGGAGGTGGTGGAATCTCCTTCCTTAGAAGTTTTTAAGGTCAGGCTTGTCAAAGCCCTGGCTGGGATGATTTAATTGGGGATGGGTCCTGCTTTTGAGGAGGGGGTTGGACTAGATGACCTCCTGAGGTCCCTTCCAACCCTGATATTCTATGATTCTATGATCACCCCTCTCTCTTCAGACACATATCACTGTTTGAAGGAAGCCATTATAAAACAAATTAGAAATCCCTTGCAGGGTGATGTTTTACCCCACTACAAACCTTTCATGCTTGTGCATTCTTTGGCACGCGTGATGTAAAACAAATGAATTATTTTCTAGGATTAGTTGTGTTTAACTCTGAGCACCAAGTATTTCGTATTAAAGTAGTCTAGTTTGCTGATTTTCTATGATAACAGAAGTACAGTTTATTAATTAGGTTAGCTGGTCTTTACTGAACTGTCTTCCAGTTGTAAATATATTGTTTTTGCAGTACAGCATATTGCACAAAACAATTTTGCAATTAGAAATATTGCTATATCAGGAAACAGGAAAACACATTGTTAAAAAATACATTCAGGAAATATATTACTCAAAGGAGTTCGTGTTCACTTAATGGAGGAAACTGACAGCAGAGACTGTTCATAAGCCCATGTAGAAAATAGTGTGAATTGTATTTTCAGTTGTTTCCATAGTCGTTAATGAGTAGTGGGGTTGGGGGCTTAAGCAAATGAATGCAGTTATAAATAAATAGAAAAGTTAAATTTAAGAAATCCACTGCTGGTTGTTTTAATAAGTGATTGATTTCTAGGCTGCTCTGCGATAGTGGTTTGTTTAAGCCAACTGTCTAATACTATGCAAGTTTAAAATTAAAATTCATGTGCACTAAAAGAGTATGGTGCACACTGTAGCTGATTTTTTTTAATGAGGCACATGATTTACATGTCTGTTTATCAGAAAGCAGTGTTGGTCTTTAAATTGTTGAAAGAAGAGATATTACATATCAACAAGGTGTAATTTTCTCCTGAGTTGGCCAATCATTGTTATACTAGATTATTGGGTCCCAATTATCCTTTCCCCAAACATCAATTTCTCAATAAATGGCTTGCCTTTCTTGATAATTTAAGAGGTGTACACTCATCTTAGTATATAGAGATGTATCATTAACATTTGGATTCCAGAGCTGGTCAAAAAAATTATCAAAACACTTTTTGGCAAAAAAATGGTTGAGTTAAATGGAAATTTTCATAAAAAATTCAGTTTATAAGTGAAGATCCTTTGATAAAAGCAAACTTTTTATTTCATTGAAACTGTTGATGGAGGAGGGAATGATTTCCAGATTTACTCTAGTAGATTATAACTATCATTTTGTTTTACTTTTTAAAAACCAAGGGTCAAGCCCAAAATGGGCCTTAAAAAAAGAAAGAGAGAGAGAGAGAGCGCGCGGATTTAGGGCTTTCTAGGGTGTGGGTTTTTTCTTTTTTAAAGGAACTAAGATTTTTTGAACAAGCTTTCGCAGCCTGCTATAATAAATATCCTTTTGTGTGTATGTGAACAAGTTTAGAAACAAGGAAGGGGCACTGACATCTCCATATTAGCTGTATTACTCATCATTTTCAAAGTCAGAAGAGTTCTTCCTTTTCAGTCGATCAAATTCTTGGTTCCCCCAGGTGTAAACAACATAGGCCACCACAAAAGGAGGAGCTTCCCTGGTATTGCTTAGCTGATAGGGAATAGGCTCTCTGGCTGAGGAGGCAGGATCATTGCAAATCCAGCTGCTGAAGAGAAGTAGTTGTCGGGCAGGAGTAAGCAGCTTCAAATATTGCTCTTCTTTCCCTCATGCACTCCAGTTCCCAAGGGGGACAGCGAGCACTACCCCTATCTGTCGACAGCAGGGAAGCAGACAAATCTGCCCAACTACAAAGGGGTATGAAGGAATGGGGATCATGAATCTTCTTCCCCTCATCTGCTCTCAGAATACCATTAAGTTGTGTGTGTTGTGGGTGCTTGGCTTTGTGTTGCATGAAGACAAGGATACCCAGTGCTTCTTTTTTTTTTCCTGCCACAGCAGCCCTTTGAAGTACTATTGGGAAAATAGATTTCACTAGTGTAGATAACTGATTAAATACACTTCACTATTCGTGAACAAGAAATTACAGAATTCCATCTGTGCATCAAAGGGCGAATCCTATAACCCAAAGCCCATGGAAAAAAGTATTTTTCTGAGCATCCTCCTGCATTAACTAGTCTAGCATATAATGTTGTAGTAACTTTGTACAGTAATTTGTCTATTGAAACACTTAGATTTTGTATGAATACACTGTCAGTTAATTTTATTTATTTTTTGTTACAGGAGCTAGAGTTAATGCCAAAGACAGCAAGTGGTTGACTCCCTTACACAGAGCTGTTGCATCATGTAGTGAGGTATGAAATAAACACGTTTTTTCTTTTCTTTTCTTTTTTTTAAAGATGAGTTTATGTAAAATAAAATACAGCATCTCAGACAACCTTCTATTTCTTATTCAGTTTTCTTAGAGTGAAACTACTGAAAATGCTTAGAGAGCCCAGGATGTTTGCAACAGATTTTTTAAAATTTAACAGGAAAAAAAAAGGGGGAGGGCATAACTTCATAATTCCAATTGTAGAATAGAGAGAGGTTCTGAACAGGAAAAAAAAATTGCAAAAATAACATGCTCTTAGAAATGTTAATTAAAAGAATCTAGAATAAGTACAGGTAGTTTGTTTTTATTATTTTAATACAAAAGGAAACCAGAAATTCTTGTACATGGAAATAATAAATCATGAATGCCATTCCCATGACAGAGAATATTTCTGAATTCAGAACATAAAGTCCTTGATTCCTTTCGGATGAGATAACCAAAGTGGTTCAGTATAAGGGAAAAATACTCTAGAAACTAAATAGGGTTTGTTTTCACCTATACAGCACAATTTTGTTTTGTTTTTTTTTCATTTTTTAATAGGCAAGCATTTCTACAGTTTCTTTATTGAAAACATTGAAGCTAGCAGCAGTAAGCGTTTTAACATACATAAAGTATTTAGTTTGGGCTTGTAGGTTTAAGTTTCATCTGAAACATTCAAATGTACAGAGTAGAGCAGAGCAAGCTGCTAATAAAATTATCTGACATTTTGTTTCATCAGAAAATCAAGGTTTTTGAAGCATGTATCAATATGTTGCTAAATATAGAAATATCGTAGGAAGAAAAATTAAGAGGTGCATTTTTATCATTGTTCAGGTATCGTATTCTGAGTTTCAAACTGTCATTAACTGGAATTTTAAATCTGTGAATAAAATTAGCTCAGTAAAAATGCTGAAGGTTAGGATTGACATGTATTGTTGCTAGAGTCATGTGGGAGAATTTCACAGAACCTGACTACGCAGAGTACTGTGCCTGAGTCATATCAGTACTATTATTGTTTTATTTTTATTAGAGAGAGAGGGGATGAAATGAGATTGTTTTGGTTTTGCAGAGTCTCAGGCATCAGACTTTGGATCTAAAACCGTCCATTTTAGATCTTGCTTTTGGGCCAAATAGTAGCATTTAGCCACTAGCCTAAGTAGGTAGTAATGTGGAGGTCTTGTCCCATAAGGGACTTGGACACAATTCTTCTATGAATGGCTTGGTGCATAGGCTAAACTATCCTTTAGGGTAAAGCAATATGCTCCCCTGAGAGAGCCTCACTGAAGCAGCAGTCCTTGCACTCTCCTGAGATTTGGGACTATAGTTGTTTCTGCCCCTTGTGTTGGGGGGGATGGGATGCTCGTTGCGTGCTTTCTCCTTCCTTTCCTCCTCTTTTGTGAATACCCTCACTAGGATCTGTCACAATTTGGCTAATGATTTTTTGAATCTATGGAACATTTTACTTTTAAAAAGTTTCCTCTGCTCAGTTATCACTCCTAAAATAAGAATATTATTTTCTCATTTGTATAAGTCTTGCCTTGCTTCTAGGGCTATGAGTATAATAAAATGAAAACTGTAAATCACATTAGTATATCATTAACATAACCTTAGCATATAAGAACTTGTAGTGAACTGGTTTTATTGTGGCAAAACTATATATAAATCTGGAGATTGGGACATATCCTTCCCCAAACTTCAAAGGGCACCACTTCTCTCCCACAAAATGGACCAGCCCAGGGGTCTGCCCCGTAGGATCTTTTTAACTTCTACAACTACTCTTCCCCCCAACCACCCCTTCTCCCCACAAAGAACTGGATGCCAGTAGGACTTCATTTTGACCCAACCCCCACATGCCTTAGATACGCAAAAAGCTTCAACTAGTACGCTGTGAAGCAGTCTGTTTCTATAGCAACACAGGTCACATGGTGCTCATTTCTTTGCAGTGGCTCCTCATTGAATATAGTCCAACTTAAGACCTCTGTCCTGATATTCAAAGCCTTCCATGGGCTTGTCTTAGCTACCTAAGAGAGAACCCTCCCTCTGTGACCATGACCTCCTATAATCACAACGTTGTTATCAAAACAATGAATCTGTCAGCCAACTCTGGGAGGGTGTATGGGAGACAGTGACTGGATCTAAACTATGGAATTTGCTCCTGCAAGAGATAAGTGACCACAGAACTAATTACTTTTAAATGCAAAACTTATTTATTCTTCGTTTTCCCTAGAGTTTCTACACATACTCACAACATGCAATGAAACAAATCTTATACACTAATCAAATTTATTTATCCTATAGGTTGGAATGGAAGAAAGAGAGCTTTTTAGTGTTGTTTCTACTTTTACGTATTTGGGGGGCTCTTAAATATTAAGATGATGGAAGACCTTATAAATAGATGGATGGGGACACGTACTAGCACACTGTGCAGCTGGGAGCAGCACAGAGATGCTCCCTCTTGAGCTGGTTACTGACTCGTTTCTGGGGCAGAGTGTCGCTGTTCAAGCTCTTGTGTATAGTAGCTAGGAAGCTCTGTGATTTAAATCCTGGTTTTGGTATAATCCAGCAGGACTACTCCCCCCAAATGAGGGGAGACCCAATTAAACAAGAACATCTGGTCACCCTAAATATCGTTAATATATTTGGGGATTTAGTTTTCAAACTTTTTTTTCTTGAACGTATTTCAGCTTAGACTGTTAGTCTTCAGAATGTGAATTTGCACTCCTTTTGTGTGCTGGTGTGTTTTGCGCAAAAGAAAAAGTTAAGATTCATTTAATTTGAAAATACATCACTGCACATACACATACTAACTGCATACTGAGACCAGAGTAATTTTTTTACAGTAAAATTAGTGTTTCCTTTGACAGTTTGTGCCCAACCAATTCCAGAGCTCTTCTTGTATTTATTTCCTGATTCTTGTAGGTGTTTTCATGGATGTTAGGCTCAAAGGAGCCAAAGACTTGATATGTAATCAGCTTTTTCCTAGTAAACTATTAAATACATTTTGGGTCCATATCCATTTCACTGTTCATTCAATTTACAGTTATAAAGTAAGGCACAAGTATTTTCTAGGTTGCTCTTATACTTTTTGTTTCTTAAGAGGAGAGGAAATTAAATGTATAGTTTTAGGATAACTTTTGACAGGTTTTTCTCATGGAATAAATACATGGAATGTAGTGTTAATATTTCCACTCCACTCATGAGTCACAGCGATGTCTAGGTATTGCAGCACAGATGTGTATGAGTAACATTGCTCTATAATTTGAGATACCTGCAATATTTAGCCTCAGTAGAATGTTTTAAGTTCAGAGTAGTAACCTTCTTATTTTTGCACTCTTTTTGCATTTGACTAAAGAAACAATCAGAACAATTAATAAAGTGTAGAAAACTTTGTGGACTTAATGAAAAAATGAAGTATTGCATCTACATTTTAATATTTGTATTGACAAGCTGTTTTCTTTTTTGTGTGATAGTGTGCATATGTTATTAACAGGATTGTGTTTGGTTTTACTTTCTGTAGGAATGTAAAAGGAATGGTATAAAAGTTTGCAGTTTAAATTTGATTTTTATAAAGGGGAATGAAACTTCTTATTTACCAAATTACTGTGATATAGAACTCTAAAACAGGATTGTCACTTTGGCACCATTAAAAATTATATTCCTTTTGCCGCCGATGTCTGTTTAAATTGATAGTATTATAAACAGGCACATCCGTAAAAAAGTATGGTTATTAAACTCTCCATCTATAATATACCATTTGCAGCTATTTTTATTCTTTGAAAAAAGGTGTCTAACAATTGGTAATAATATATTTTAAGTACAGTAGTGCCTCACTAATGCACACTAATAGAGGGAGTCCTGAGCATTATTGATCTTGTGATGGGGAATTCCACCAGTGTCAAATGCCAATTGTAAGTTCCTTAGCTGTGTTTGGGGGATCTATAACCATCCCAGAATCTTGCTGGGCTTGAGAATAAACTCATAACCTGAAAATACATGTGAATGCAGTTTATCAAAGTGTGAATTAGTGAGATTCTGTTGTACTTTACATGGAGTTGCTAAGTATATTCTTTTAGTTCTTTAGTAATGTAATTTATTTTATTGCAAATATTTTCAGGATGCTGTTCAGGTGCTGTTAAAGCATTCAGCAGATGTCAATGCCCGTGACAAAAACTGGCAGACACCCCTACATATAGCAGCTGCAAATAAAGCTGTTAAATGTGCTGAAGCTTTGGTGCCTCTTCTAAGTAATGTAAATGTGTCCGATCGAGCAGGTAGAACAGCATTACATCATGCAGCCTTCAGTGGACATGTTGAGGTATGGATTATTTTCCAGATCTTGTTTTTTAGCCCTCTTGCCTCCCACCAAAGCTCTGATTATTTAGTTGCATACTTGTACATGATCTGGTAATGGTAAAATGTACACTAAAGTATATTTACAGCATTTACATCCCCATACTAAAGCCTTGAAGAATACTGTTCCAGTGGTGAGGTATGGCCTTATTAGTAGCCTGTAGGAACACCTTTTTCTAGTTTCTGCATTCCCCCAGAAAAAAATCAACAACCTTTTATTTATAGTCTGGGTTCTGCTGAGATGTATAAACTTAAATTGTAAATTAATTTCAAGTGATTGAAGCCATAGTGTAATTGATCCACTTTCAGCAGTTTGTATGGAAATGAAAGGTTTTTAATATGTAAATTTGTAGGGTGATTAAATGCATAGATTTTTAACTAACTTTTTTAGTTTTAATAAACAGTATGTATGTAGTAGATACAGTACATATAGTATGCCATGGTTGTTAAACAATTGCATAAAATAGGTAATCTAAAATATTTTGGTTTTCACTTGATATCTAATTTAGAGGATCCTATGATCACAACATTGTCAACAGTGTGGGCAGTCAGCATGCTTAAATGCACAAAATATCAGAAGCGATGTAAATGGAATGGTGGTTTTAAAGGATTTAAAAACTTGGTTTCATTTCACCCAAGATTTATTCTTCGCTTTCATTATTATGCCACATTCTGTGCATAGTTTTATATTCTGAGCAGAGGTATTTTACTTATTTTTCTTTCTTCACCCTAGATGGTGAGTTTGTTGTTGTCTAGAGGTGCCAATATTAATGCATTTGACAAGAAAGACAGACGAGCTATACATTGGGGAGCATATATGGGTATGTACTCTTTTGCAACTGATTCTCTGTGCATTAGAGAGAAAGTCAGTCACTTTATTTTATTGAACTTATATACTTTAATTTCTAGGCAAAAGCGTTTAGTCAAGGTTGCGTAGTAGGTGATTACGAGGAAGGTATCTATACATCTCATATAACATTTGTAATAGGATACAGCAAACTGTCTTTTTTTTATGAATGCTTTTGTGGCAGAAAAAAATGACATGCTAATTTATTTTGAGAAATGAAAGGAAAACAGTTTTTCTCCTAAACACTAACTTTTTGGTTTAATGTGGATTCCTGATTGAAAATGTGACCACTAATGCCACATGGCTATTAAGAGGAAAGATCGGCGTACGAGGAAACTGAATAGAGATAAATATAATTCTCCATTACTTATAGGTGGTGGTTATAGAATCATAGAAATGTGACTGGAAGGGACTGTGAGAAGTCATCAGGTCCAGCCCACTGTACTGAGGCTAGAATCAAGTGAACCTAGACTTTACCTGACAGGTGTGGTCCAACCTGTTCTTAAAAATACAACCTCCCTTGGATGACTATTCCAGAATTTCACTACCCTTATAATTAAAAACCTTTTTCCTAATTTCTATCCTAAATCTCCCTTCTGCAGATTAGGCCCATTACTACTTGTTCTCCCTTCAATGGACATGGAGAAAGATTAATTACTGTCCTCTTTAGAACAGCCCTTAACATATTTGAAGACTGTGACAGGTCGCCACTCAGGTTTTTTTCTCAAGAGTAAACATGCCCAGTTTTTAACCTTTCCTCATAGGTCAGGTTTTCTAAACCTTTTACCATTTTCGTTGCTCTCCACCGAGCTCTCTCCAATTTATCCACATCTTTACTAAAGTGTGCCACCCTCAATTGGACACATTAATCCATCTGAGGCCTCACCTGTGCCAAGTAGAGCAGGAGAGTTGCCTCCTGTGTCTTACATAAGACACTCCTGTTAATACACACCAGAAAGAGATTGGCTTTTTTTGCAACTGCATCACATTGTCTCATTCAATTTGTGATGTGCTGTAATTTCTAGATCCTTTTCAGCAATTCCAGTGTATAGTCAGTTATTCTCCATTTTGTGTATGTACATTTAATTTTTTCCTTAAGTGTAACAGTTTACATTTCTCTTTATTGAATTTCATTTTGTTGATTTCTGACCAATTCTCTATTTTGTCAAGACCATTTTGCATTTTAATCCTGTTCTCCAAGTGCTTGCATTCCCTCCCAGCTTGGCATCATCCACAGATTTTATAAGCATGCTCTCCAGTCCACTATCCAAATCATTAATGAAAAAATTGATAGTACTGGACCTGCAACTGACCTCTGTGGGACCTCCAGTTTGACAGATAATCATTGATAATTACTCTTTAAATATGGTCTTTCAATCAGTTGTGTACCCACCTTATAGTAATTTAATCTAGGCCACATTTTCCTAGTTTGCTTATGAGAATGTCATGTGGGACTATGTCAAAAGCCTTACTAAAAATATGAAGTTTTCTAGTAAAGTATCAGAAGCTGACTCACAAAGGAAAAATAATAGACTTTAAGATAGGTATATTTCTGATTCGCTCCCTGCTTGGGTTTTGTTTAGTTTTGTTTAATAGGGAAATGGACCAAGAATAAGACTTCAAATTATTGCACTTCCAGGATTTCAGCCTCTTTACCCAATCATTGTCTTGCCTCTGACGATGAAGTTGTCCACAATGGGTTGGTTATCACGTCCTAATGATACAGGCTTCCTTTATGTAGACTTCCTTCCATTAGTCTTTTATGTAGAACTTTGCTGTTTATAATAAGTATGGGAATTCTTTTCTTCAGCTTGTCTGTAGTCATGGTTCCTCACTTCCAGCTTCATTCAAGAAGTGCAAAGATTAAAAGAAAAGCAGATAAGGGCTTTTAGTTCCAATACTCTGACAGAAGCCTCTTAGCCGTGGCTAAATAACTCAGTTGTACTTCTAAATAAGTCATAAACAGCTACTGATGTAATTTTCAGTAACAACCAGTTTTCTTTGACTTCTGAGCAGGTGCAACATACCTTTTTTTCAGTGTCTTTTCTACCTGTGGCATCTGTGTGCTTACAAAATACTTTCTCTTGACATCACAAAAAGTTGTAATTTCTTAGGACTTGATACCAGCTGTAATTGCTTTCAGTTCTCCTTTCTTTTATCTCAGCAGGGCTGTATTGGTTCTCACTGAAGAATTTATGGTAGTGGCCACAGCTCCGAAACAGTAACAGATATCTATTTCCAGGAAATTGGCTAGAAGCGGGTGTCATTTCAAAGTGTAAATTATGTGATAAACATATTAAGTCAGCATTAATCAATTTGAGTTTAATTATCAATTGCAGGAAAAAGTAAATTGATGCCATTCCATAGTCTTGACTATTCAGAGGTGCAGTTTGACTTTCAAAAATAATAGTTTATCCGACACAGGAGAGAAGAATGAAAATAGAAAAATTTATATTATGTTCTCTGCAAGCACAGAAATTAATCAGAGGAGATATAAAACCAAGATCCATTTGTAATCATTAGAGATCCCATAGCACTCTGGAGTAGTAGTTTTGCATTAATGTGCTGAACAAATTCTATTCTGGGTAGTTTACCTTTTGTCTAACTATGTTTCCCTACTCCCAGTTATTCCTAAACATTTGTGTAGTGTCCTATAGTTCTGTTAATGGCAGTTGCTCTTCTTCATAGATATAAATGATTATTGTATGCTGTACATACTTTTTTTTAGTGAATCTAAAAACTATGGAAAATGCTTTGAAATCAGTTTAGATTGTGCATTTATAAGCACCTTTTTAAAAAATAGACTGAAATCTCTTCAGGACAGGATTTGTGGAGGGTTTTGGGGGAGAGATTTGTGGGGGGAAGGAAAATCTTACTCAGCTATTTTGGATCATTTGCAATGAGACATTACAATTACATTGTCTTGGTACAATGATCTGGACAAACTGGAGAAATGGTCTGAAGTAAATAGGATGAAACTCAATAAAGACAAATGCAAAGTACTCCATTTAGGAAGGAACAATCAGTTGCACACATACAAAATGGGAAATGACTGCCTAGGAAGGAGTACTGCGGAAAGGGATCTGGGGGTCATAGCGGACCACAAGCTAAATATGAGTCAACAGTGTAACACTGTTAGTGTTACATACGTAGTACTCACTGTTGCGCAAAAAAAAAAAAAAAGCAAATATCATTCTGGGATGTATTAGCGGGAGTGTTGTAAGCAAGACATGAGAAGTAATTCTTTCGCTCTACTCCGTGCACATTAGGCCTCAGCTGGAGTATTGTGTCCAGTTCTGGGTGCCACATTTCAGGAAAGATGTGGACAAATTGGAGGAAGTCCAGAGAAGAGCAACAAAAATGATTAAAGGTCTAGAAAACATGACCTATGAGGGAAGGTTGAAAAAATTGGGTTTGTTTAGTCTGGAAAAGAGAAGAATGAGAGGGGACATGCTAGCAGTTTTCAAGTATATAAAAGATGGAGGGAGAAGAATTGTTGTTAACCTCTGAGGATAGGACAAGAAGCAATGGGCTTAAATTGCAGCAAGGGGAGGTTTAGGTTGGACATTAGGAAAAACTTCCTAGCTGTCAGGGTGGTTAAACATTGGAATAAATTGCCTAGGGAGGTTGTGGAATCTCCATCATTGGAGATTTTTAAGAGCAGGTTAGACAAATACCTGTCAGGAATAGTCTAGATAATACTTAGTCCTGCCATGAGTGCAGGGGACTAGACTAGATGACCTCTTGAGATCCCTTTCAGTCCTATGATTCTATATCTTAATACAGAATTAACTATATTAAGCAGTATATTTTATAATGACTTATATTGTTTAATCATTAACATTTCTGTTTTTCAAAATTATTTAAACACAACCTTAATGTGTTTTTATTTTTAACAATTCTTATTAACTTTTTTGTGGTGGGAGGGGAACTAAATACTTTCTGATGTGGGGGAATTAAAATTCTCAGGAGAACAGAGAGAAATAAAAGCCAAGGGGAGTGGAGGTGAAGGGCAAAATCATTGTTGGTCAGTGCCTCTGTAGTGCACTGATGCTTAGATCATGGAGCTGATTTTATCCTATCTTGTGCCACTACATTTAATATAAGAACATGTTCCTACTCTTTCCAGCTTGTCTTGTGCTTCATTTTTACACTTTCATAAAGAAGGATTCTTCAATATCATTGTCCCAATAGAACCTTTGAATTGCAATTAATAATGGGAAGCTGTATGACTGGTGAACAAGTTTACCTTAGTTATTGCACAAAGCGTAATACTTTGATATGGCAACTTCACTGAGTAAAACAGAGTGAGGTTTAGAACTGTGTTGGTGCCTGACTAACTTGAAGATTAGTGGATTATTGATGAATAATATGGATTATGCCATAGACACTTCAAACATTTTAACTCTTTGGTCTTTGTTCATATCAATTTGTTGTGATAGTAGGGATAATAGCATAGATCTAGATAATTTGCCCCATTTTGGTCTTAGTACTTACTACATATGTACCAGGACAGATTGCTGCTTGGACAGATGTCCATCATGTGTGTCAGTAGGACAGACATTTAACATAGTGTCTGAGTAGGTGTTCGTTTTTTGCTTTAGGTCAAGCTTGTGCTGATATAGGTATAGCAAAGATTATATTGAGGTAGTAACCTTAGGAACTACTTCTATTCAAAAACAAGTAATGTAACGAGCCCTGAGAGAAGTTGTAGAGGAAGAGCAAAGTTGTGCTTATTGATTTTTACTGAGAAGTAGAGTTTAGCTTATTTTTCAGCTGTGATTCAAAAAAGCTTTCATTTAAAGGATTAATGTGTAATGAACACATTTAAAAACCCCAAAACACTAGGAATAGTTTGCATAGAGCAGGGGTTCTCAAACTTTATGCACCGCGACCCCCTTCTGACAACAAAAATTACTACACAACCTAAGGAGGGGGAACTGAAGCCTGAGCCTGCCCAAGACCCGCCGCCCCAGGTGGGGGAACCAAAGTCAGAGCCCCACCGCCCTGGGTTGAGGGGCCAAAGCCCAAGCGCTTCAGCCCTAGGCAGGGGGCCTGTAATCTCAGGCATTGGCCTCAGGCCCCAGCAAGTCTAAGTCAGCCCTGGTAACCCCATTAAATGGGGTTATGACCCATTTTGGGGTCCCAGCCCACAGTTTAAGAACCACTGGCATAGAGAAAACAGAGCCTTTGAATGCTTCTGCAGAAAGGTTAGGTGATCATGCGGCTGTCAGCAGGGAAAGGAATTGATTCTTGGCACTGTTCCTAGATGGGGACTGCACTGGCTCTAGTCCCTTGCCTGCCAGTCATGGCTATGGAAGCAAGTGATCACTCCCTGTATCATTCACAACTCCACTCTTTGTATCTCAGTTTTCTTCTTCCCAGTGAAGCTAGAATTATGGTATCAACCTGCCATCTTCAGTCTAGTTTCTTAAGCCTTGTGTAGACTAGAAAAAGTGTTTAATATTTTGGGGTGTTTTTTGTTTGTTTTTAATTAAGTTAGGTTCCTTGAGTTAGTTAACTCCGTTGGAAACATCACTTAAACTGCATCTATGCTAGGTGCTAACATCTCTAAAATTGTATTTGCTTATCAAAGTCTAACATTATTTTAAAGATATTAAACTGCATATATGTTAAATGCTAAGTAATGTTTTAAATTGGGTTAAAAATTGATTTTACCCCCCACCCCCTTTACTACTCTAGATAAGGCCTTAGAGGAGTAAAACTTCCCCTGTCTGTTACTGCAGAAGCATTGTTAGCCCAGGCCTGTGCTAAGGTACTGTTTGCTCTTTCAGTGTTGCTTTTATTTGCAGAGTGTTTTGTCAGGACAGTATTCCCAAATCCTGACTTGAAACAGAAAGTGGAGACAGGAGCTGGAAACAGGGAAAATACAATTTTCAAATTGTTTACTCAAACTATTAATAATAATAATAATAATTGGGGGGGTTTCATGGTACGTTTCTGTTTAAATATAAAGAAGTCAGAATAGGTATATGCCCAATAAATGAAACTCCTAAATTTGTATGGGTGGATTGAGGAAAAGTTGTTAAATAACTTTTTATAAAGCACTGCAAGTATTCTTGGTGTTGAGGTCTGTAAAGTCTTTTGTAGTTTACAAAATAGAAAATGCATATTTGAAAAAAAATACTTAAATAATTGGTCACATGATAGATCAGGATGGTTGTAAAAGTGATCTAGTCAAGAATATCTGGATTTCTTGTCCTAGAAATTGCTTCACTTATACAAGTAAGAATATTAATAATCCACATTGCAGAAATCTCTGCTTGAAGCCTGTTTTAAATTAGTCTTTAAATTAGTGAAATTGGTATTGGAGCCATCCAGAACTAGTGTAAAATATGTACATCATGCTGGGAAATCCATACTCCTAGTGCCAAAGAGTAAAACAGAACAAGATCACAGACTTTCTTCTGTAGGGGGGAGACTTATGGTAGCTAGAATGTTGCTGAGACCAGTGAATTAGGCAGTGTTAATGCCATTACTCATAGTTTGAAGCCATGCTGACATCAGACTTCAACTATTGCTAATCACTTCAGCCAAGAGGTTGTTGTGTGTGACTGTTATTGATCCAGTGTTCTTAGAGATAAAACTAATAGTTAAGATCTGATTTATCCTGCCTGCAGTAGTAGTTTTGAGGGAATGAAATTCAGTGCTTGAGATGCCACAGCTATGTATGGACAAGCATTATCGGAGTTGTAATGAGGTACATTTTCTGGTGTGTGCTCACCCAGCTGGAAAAACAAATGCTTTCTCTTGTTCAGCTAAGCTAAATTCTATCTACCAATTTTAGCACATGCTACTTTTATAGACTTGTAATAGGATACTTTATCCCTGGAGCATATCACTTGTCTAATTTCCATTTTTAAAATAGATTTGTAGACAACGGAGGGGGAGGGATAAAATTAACTTCTTACATTTTTTTAAAGAAATCTCTGTGTGTATGTTCATATACAGTGGACCTGATTCTCACTTAAGCTATGTCTATACTATAGCTTATGTCGGCATAATTTATGTCGCTCAAGGGATGAATAAAACACCCTCCTAAGCAACATAAGTTACACCGACATAAATGCAATTATAACAACCTAACTCCCAGTGTAGACAGCGCAATGTCAACAGGAGGGCGTCTCTCATCAACATAGCTACCGCCTCTCGGGGAGGTGGATTACCGTCCTGTGCCAATGGGAGAAGCATTTCCATCAGCGTAGGTAGTGTCTTCACTGAAGCGCTACAGCGGCGCAGATGCATTGGTGCAGCTGTTTAATCATAGACGAGCCTTTATTTTAAAAAATGACTTAGGGAATTAGGAGCGTATGTCCCATTGATTTTCAGTGAGACTTAGGCTTATGAATTCTTAATTTACTTTTGAAAATGGATCTTGCGTTTCTAAATTTCTTTGGGTAAAGTTTTCAAAAAATAACATATCTCTAAAGGAAAAATTAATTTTTTTATATTACGAAGTCTAGAAATGTTTTCTTAAAAAAGAGACTTATCTTTCTGCTTGTTTCTACTTTAGAAACTTCAGAAATATGAAGTCTTTTCACGATTCGTGCAGGAGGCCTTAAGAAATTAAATGGAAGTTTTCTCAGTCTTCAGTTTGAAAGAGCAAGGTTCTGAGCTTTTCTTTCAAATCTTTGACAGAAGTTTGAGTTAGATAGGTATTAAATCAGATAAGCAAACAGTTTTAAATAGCTTACTAAAAATCCCTTCTCCTCTCAGTTGGATTTGAGAGCTAATGGGCTGACGTAAGGTTTTAAGTCCTCCAAAAAATCCTTCAGCAAAAACAGAAGACAGGATTTGATATTTTTTATATAAAACGAAAATCAAGGCTAGAGAGATTGTTTGGAGTAGGAGGAAATACATGGACAAAATATTTCAGACTGCCTTTATAAATCATAAGGAAATGAGATGGGGAAAGAATATGGTTCTCTGCTTCTTTTAAATGAGGAGAGTCTATAGTGCATTTTTCACCTTTTAAAAGTTGATCAAGTGCAGCTAATAATAAATTGATATTATTTCTCTGAGTCAGAGCACAATTGATAAATTAAGTTATGTCTTAATATTTATTTTTCTTTTATTTGCCTAGGTCACATTGAAGTTGTGAAATTACTTGTGACCCATGGAGCTGAAGTGACATGCAAAGACAAGAAATCATATACACCCCTACATGCTGCAGCATCTAGTGGAATGATCAGTGTAGTCAAATATCTTCTAGATCTTGGAGTTGATGTAAGTAAACATGTAGCCAAAGGCAAATGACATAGGAAAAATCTAAACTATTACTGATCAGGAATATAGTGGTGCAGAGAATGCTCCATTCTTCATGCTCAAGAATAATAATCGTGGTAGAGTACTTCATAAGGTCTTCACTCATTTATTTATTGGTTACAGAACTTCACTCCCTAGGCTTAAGTTTCTTCTATAGATTTTCACTTAAAGGTAAACTTGTCCTTTAAATGGTTTCATTATCTTCCGGGAGGGAAGGAGTGATCCTATGTTTAAGGCACTGGACTGGGACTCAGGAGATCGGAGTTCTGTTGCAAGCTCTGGCGTACACTTTTTCTGTGACATTGAGGAAGTCACTTAATCTCTTGTTTCAGTTCCCCATCTGTAAAGCGGGGATAAAACTTCCCTATCTCACAGGAGTTTTGAGGGTAAATCATTAATGATTGTGAGGTACTCTTATACCACACTGATGATGGTCATATAAGTACCTAGTTTTAAAAATATATTAACAAAAATATTGTCAGTATTTTTGAGATGATAAAAATAAATTTATTAAAGAGAATTGTAGGCCTATTGGCGTTCTACCTTTTGAATAATCTTGCAATCTTCCACAGAGTGACCATTGCTTCTGAAGTTGTAGTTTGAAAACTAGGATGTTTCTTTGTATAATGTAATATGGAGCTCTATTTGCACATTCATTCAGTATTAACTTCTCATATCTTAGGAGCTAAAACAAATATTTCCAAACTTGGGTGCCTAAAATTGGGCACCTAAATCCATAGTTAGGCATCTTAGTATGTGGCCTGATTTTCGTAAGTACTTGGCACCCAAAATTCCTACTAAATTCATTCGGCCCCGCAGGCATTCAGTTCCATGGAACAACAGACCATTTACTTAGATGACTAGATCGAGGCACCTAAGTCTCTACATTTAATTACTCCTGGGGGGATTCTGCACCCCAAAATTAAAAATTCTGCGTACAATATTTTAAAATTCTGCATATTTTATTGGTCAAAATAACAGTATCACATCAGTTCGTTATTTTAGTAATTTATTTCAAAATAGTATTTTTGAAATACCGCGGTTACCGCTGTTGGCCCTGGGCAGCTGGGCTCCGGCTGTCTCAAATTCTGCGTGGAAAAAATAAAATTCTGCACAGAACATTAATTCTGTGTAAATTCTGCATTGTGCAATGGTGCAGAATTCCATCAGGAGTAAAATTTTAGTTTTAAGTTCCTAATGTTCATTTTGGGAGAGCAGCTCTGCTGTTTAAATACTCAACCCTCCTCTGTGAGGTTCTTGTCCATTAAAAGGAATCTGCAAAAATAATTTGCAAAAGATAGAAGAACATTTTTCACTTGTAACTGGAGTTGTCAGAGCACATTGCCCCTGCGGACCAACACTCACCTACTTTTCTGCTTTGTTTTTCTAGATTATTACTATGTATTTGGAACTGGCAGTAAGGAATTGAGGGAGGTGGAGTCATTGGCACTTGTCTGTCAGTAATGTGATAACTTTTGAGCACTGCATCCATTCAATTCCAAAATTTCAGGGAATATTTTAGGCATCAATGAACTAACCCTATTGATTTTGGTGAAAATTGGAAAAAACAAAAGAGGGAAATGGGGGCATGTGGAGCCATTTGCATTCACCTAGCACACCCAGCAGTTCAGCCACTTCTGTAATTGTCTGTAGATTAAAGAGCTGATTGATGGTAGCTATTAACATGTTCCAGCATAATGTATGGACTAGGGGTATTCACAGAGCCCTGGCATGGGGGATGAATTGGTGGCACACAGAACCCTTGCCGGGGTTGGGGGAGAATGGATGACCCTGGCAGTGGAGAGAATGAGGGACATTGGTATGGGAGAAAGGGATGGATAGAGATGCACACAGAGACCCTGGCATGTGGCAGAAGAGTGAATGGGGCAAGGAGAGCACAGGGGTCCTTGCTTGGGGTTGGAATTGAGAGACCCTAGTATTGGGGGAAGAAACACTGAGGGCACACCGCCTCTCGCATGAAAGGTAGGTTGCAGAGAGCCTCTGAAATAGAAGGTGATGGGAGTGTGGCACACAGGCAGCATGAGGAGCGGCTAAGGAATGCGAGGAGCCTCTCTTGCATGCAGTGGGATGTGCCTACAAAAACAAGAAGGTGTGCGACCCTCTATATTGTACAGTCTTGATGATTAGATCAAGGGAAGAGTATGTACATGCCACCAGTGTCTCTGCATTATAGGAGCTTTGGGGGCTCATACAATCAAGGTACATGATCCCAACAATGTGGACTTGTTGTGATAATAAACTTAGAGAATTCTATTTACAAGTGGCAGAATACCTTCCTTTCCCACAACCACTACCAAACACTTCAATTATCTCCTCTCAGAGAGGTTGAAAAGTATTCCATTCTAAAGTTTTTTGGTCAAGGAAATCCAGTCCAGAACACATTTAATGTACTGTTTTGTGATATTCCAGAATGCAATGAAGACATCCTGCATAACAACAAAAGATGTTCTTTTGTACCTAGTTAAATACTGTTGCATGATGGCATAAAAGAAGTGTGGTAGAATTTCACAATATCTTACTAATTGTCTTTTTTCCCCATTAGATGAATGAACCAAATGCCTACGGAAATACTCCGCTTCATGTAGCTTGCTACAATGGACAAGATGTTGTAGTAAATGAACTTATAGACTGTGGTGCTAATGTAAATCAGATGAATGAGAGAGGTTTTACACCTTTGCACTTTGCTGCTGCATCAACACATGGAGCATTGTGTTTAGAACTTTTGGTCTGTAATGGAGCAGATGTAAATATGAAGGTAAGGAAATTAATCTAAAGGTGGATTCAATAAGTTGTAACATACGATACATCTATGTCTTTATATCAGATATTATAATTTAAATTACAAGGTTTAATATATTTTTATTACAATAGTACCTATATACCCATCAGGATTGTGGAACCTTGTTGTGCTAGGGGTTCTACAGACAACGAGTAAATGACAGTCCTTGCCCCAAAGACCTTACAGTCTAATTTAAGATGAAATGCAAATAGTGGGTATACAATCTGAAGGAATAAGGGGGGAAAGATGAGGGAGACAATGAAAGAACATGCATTTAGATGGGCCCACTAAATAAGATAAATGTCAGAAGTCCATATTGGCCATTATCTGTTAGAAGTGTCCCATATGCATAACAGTAAAAGCTGGTTTTGAGAAGAAATTTTTAAAGAGGTTAGTAGTTTTACAGAATATTTCTGAGAGTGCTCCATAAATAAGAACCAGTGTGGAAGAAATCACACAACTGTTTGTGGGAGAAATATACACAGGCAAACGAGGCTGGCATCTTTAGTAGAGCGGTGAAGGGCAACAGAAGATTCTAGAGTCAATAAATAGGGAGGGGTTGAGTTGTGAAGGGCCTTAAAGGTAAGGAACCAAAACTTTTACTTGATGCAGTGCAGACCTAGCCAGTCGAAGGACTCAGATTGCTGGCTGACATGGTCAGGATATTAGTGGCCCCAAATGGACTGAGAGAAAAAATGTACTCATGGCCATAATTCCATGGCTGTAGGACTTGCCATAGAATCCACCTCTGTTGAAAATATTTCCTTTGACTTATAAAATTTAAATTTCTAACCCTTATGGTTGCAAAAATAAGTTTGAATATAGAAAAATGCTATGAGGTCTTCCTAAGTTTGCAAACTAAGAGCCCTGAAACAGCTATCAGAGAGAGGTGGGAACTGCCCTATTTTAGTATGAGGTGCGCTCAAGTCTGATGATGACAGTTGTCCTCATAAACATTCAGGTAATGTGCCTGTCCATTTGTTATTGGTGTGTGGCTGGCTATTAAGGTAGAGACAAGGGGAAATTGGGTTTTTTTATGGAACTTAGAGTTCAAATGTCATAAACACCCTCCCTCCCCCCCGCAAAATCTGGTTATCTCTGCTCCTGCCCACAAATGGGAGGAACTAGAGAGATACATCCCTCCAAAAACAGCAACTACCTCCAAAATCCTGTGCTGCCTCCCATGCCTTTCCAGATGCCGAAAGCGCTAATTGGTCCCATTCCTTGCTACCAAAATGTCTAGCATGAGGACTAAGGGGAGCAGGTTCTATGGAGCAGCAAGAAGTGGCTTATTGATAGATACACCAGAGGTCTTCTCAGTTAGCTACAGGCTCTGATGTCTGGCTGGAGGACATCTGATCCATACAAGTTTCCAGATTTATTTTAAATAAATTAGGTTAACAAAAGCCATAAAAATAAATGTATGAGCAAATTGTATTAAAATAATTTGGGAAGCTAGCAGATCCTGGTCAGCTATCAACTCCAAGAATAACCTGGCACACTCAATCTCAAAGCCAGCTGATATTTATATTTCAGCCAAATGGGTGATACTGGAAAAGTCAGATCATTCCCAGGTTGAAAACCAATATTTAAACTACTATTCTTATGCCCAATATCTTTTTCTCTCCACCCTCCTAAACATAGGGTTCATCTTTGAGTGATGGTACCTATTGTATTCCACTAGGGGTTTACTCATGTGCACCATGCACCCAGAGTTGGAGAGTTTGAAAGTAGTGTCTGTTAGTCTGTGCATGTGCCTTGGCTTGCCTTGTGCTTCTGTCCAATGCAATAAAGGGCGGGATGGACTGACTGCGTCTCCAGTTCCTTCTCACCACTGCAAGTTCCAGGTCGGAACCTTCATCGTCCTCGTCTGATGCAATTGTAAAAAGCATAGTTGTAAATAGTTTTAGCAGTTTTAACTGTAGTTTTACTAGTTTTATTTCTTTCCCGGTTTTAGTAATTAATAGTTTTAATGTTAGTTTAGAGTAGACTTTAGGGACTTCTCTGCTGCCCCAAGCAGCGTGCAGATATTGGATTATGCCCAGAGCTCCAGGCTACAAACTCTGCGCCTCCTGTATGCAATCTTTCTCGATCAGCGATGACCTCCAACACTGCCTCTGCTGTCTGGGAGAAGCTCACATCACAGCTAATTCAGCGAGGCGTGTGCCTCCCACGACTATGTCCGACTCCACTGCCATCAGAACCACCCCCGCTGACCCGATAGCATGGCTTATTTGGGAGATTAGGATGCAATCCCATAAGCATGGGACTAAATCTTCCTGAAAATCCAAGGAAATCAACATTCCCTCCACCAGTTCGGCCCAAGACAGTGGAATGCATTTTAAGTCCCACAGGTACAAGAAGATGATCCATTAACAATGGGATCCAGCAGTTCCAAGCAATGAACAGTTGGTACCGCCATCTCCAGCACTCCAAAAACACAAGACTCTTCTGTGCCGGGGAAGAACCTCAGCACTGGTACCGATGACGGGAAAAGAGAGCGTGCCCCTCACACCAACGAGATCCAGATCCTTGGCTGCATCCCAGAACTTTGTTGCTTTGCTGGATCCATTTGCAGGAAGGGTATATATGAGCTCACAAGAGAAGTTTAAGGGCCTGATCTCTCTTACACTGGTATAAATGCAGTGTAATTGCATTAAAATTAATGGAAATACTATGCGTTTATATTGATGTAACTAAGATTGGTATTTCTCTTCTGCTTTGCTGATGGTTATTTAATTAAAATGGGAATTCTCTTTTTTGCAGGGAAGGAGGGAGATTGACTTTGTAGTAGCTTTACTTTGCAGAGGTGGTTGTAGTAGTGTTAACTTTTCAGTAATAGAGTATTCCAGCTCCGCGCAGTCAATTCTGGTTTTCAGATATTGAGTAGGATGATTGTTCCCTGTTTTAGGGACAAATACCCACTTTATATTCCTTGTTTTCGCGAAGGATTATTCCTTTAGTTAAAAGAGCAGGATTTTATATTGTTGTGGTTTTTTGTTTCTTTAGACTACTCTTATTCAGTAGAGTTTATTGTAAAACTTTTCAGCAGTATGTATAGAGGATTTCAGCTGTGCTCAATTTTTTATTTTTAAATATAATCTTGATTTTTGGCTTTTAATGCTAAAGTTCAAAATATTTGTACAGTTTTTGGCAACTGTCATAAAAATACAATATTCTATTTATAATCACAAATATATTACTTTGTAAGTTTAGATTCTACTATAATTCTTTCCACTGTTATCTACATGATTTTTAGAGATGTAGAGGGGGCATAGGTGGGCATCTGGGATAGGTGGAAGATGTATGTGTGCATATGCTGTGAACCTTGATCACTGGGTGTTCTGGAGACTTTGAAATGTTCACTCCATTCTTGTTGGCTTCACCTCTGGGAGGAAAGCATACAAGAGATTAGTGAGCTAGCAGAAAGTTTGAACTTTTGATATGTTTCCCCCTTCATCCATTTTCCATAGGAGGGGGGAAATATCGATTGTTTTGGCAGGTACAAAATTGTCACTATCCATACAGTAATTTAGATCTTTAAATCCTAGCAACTACTGCTCAACACTATTCCTTTCCTGCAACATTCAGTCTAAAAAGAGTATAGCAAACTCAAATAACGATTTTGCACGTGTAGAAGTATATTATCGGATGTATATGGGAAACTATAAATTGTATTTGAACTAGTATCAGCTGGATTCTTGAAAAGAAATGGTCTCAGTGATCTGAGTAGACTGGATATATCTAATTTTAAGTGAAGCCAAGTTTAGGCATGGATGGTTGACCACTTGAGAATACCTGGTGTTCTGGGCTGCTTGTTGCTGTGTAATAACAATGGCTTCTCCTAGATATTTTTGTGTTTTGGAAAAAAAATAAGTATTTTATAGACATATATTGCCTGATAGTACATTATACAAGAGACTTGTGTTTTAATCTTCTATTATCTCACTTCATTGAGCTTCAGTGAATGCAACCAAATAACAATTAGCCTGCAGCTATTTAACCGTGGGCTATGATCATGTCAGATGTCATAAGCTTAGCGAGGGCAGGCTTGATCGGTACTTAGATGGAAGACTTCCAAGGAAGAAAGGAAATATTTGAAAGGCTCATATTTTTGGTGCAGTGGAGTGAAGCTGCTGTTCATTGTCTAAGGAATCTGTTCTTGTAGTTCTGTGTATACTTCTTCTCAACTTATTTATTTTAGAATACTTTATATATTAAAAAAAAACAAAAAACCCAAAACTCTTGGAGGAAGTATAATATTCCTAAAATCTTACCTGTATGTTCTGGTTCTGAATTTAATTGCACACCATCAAAATATTTAGTGGGGAGGTTCCCACAGCAAGTTCACCTTTGTCCCCTTGCAATAGGGAATTTTGTGTTAATTAACTGCATACAGTAGAATGAATACGTTGTGTATGTGCACCTACGGAAATAGAAAATGGTATAATTTTATATAGTAATATGATGGTTGCAAATTAGTGTCACATTGCCTAGTATTTTTTGTGTGTGTGTAACTTTTTTTTGTGTGCATATAGGTTTTTCATTAACCTGTAATGTGCTAACTATGGACTAAATTTCATAGGAGAGACAGTTTATGAATGCATTTAGATAGTGCTTTTAAAAACTAGAATCCCCTCCGTGTTAAAGTTGACCTAATTTCAGGGTACCTTTTTTGGGTGAGTGGTTAATTGTACTTTTCATGTGTGTGTCAAATGTGCAGTACCCTCTGTGGTTGAATAAAAAGAAAAGGAGTACTTGTGGCGCCTTACAGCTCACTTCATCGGATGCTTTCGATGTTGTAGCTCACGAAAGTTTATGCTCAAATAAATTTGTTAGTCTCTAAGGTGCCACAAGTATTCCTTTTCTTTTTGCGAATACAGACTAACCCAGCTGCTACTCTGAAACCTGTAGTTGAATAGTTCGCCTTAAGGATTATTTGTGGTTTGTGATGAATTACTTATGAGTTTCATTTTAAAGTAACATCAAAGAAACAGATTAATATTTTAATGTCAGTCTTCTAACACTTTGTAATGTTCTATAATAAGGTTCTCGTATTCAGACTGAATACAAGTCACTTCTTTAAAATAAGCTTTATTTTTTTGGCTTAAGATTTAGGGAGGAAGTAAATGTAGTTCTTGGTGCTAAGACTGTCTGCTGCCACTATCCTCTTGTTTGTCCTAAAGGCATAATTCTGAGTGAGTGTGCATCATTGAGTTGTCAATAGAGCTGGAGAAGGGATTAACAAGAACAAGATAACAGCAGTGTTGAATAGCCTGTAATGTCTCCTGGGTTTGTTACTACCAGCAATTGTTTTATAGTAGTGTGGAGAGGGAATTGATGGTGTTGGTGGGAAAGGATCACTTCTCCTTGCTAATTTTGATAGATAAATGTAGCTGGCTATGGGTTGATAGTTTTTTATTTTTGTTTTATTCCCAGAGTAAAGATGGGAAAACGCCATTGCATATGACAGCAATCCATGGTAGATTTTCAAGATCACAAACCATCATCCAGAATGGTAAAAAGAAAAAAAGTATTTATGTACATATATTGAAATGTTAATGACATTTTCACATTCTTATTTTGCTATGGCCAGTATTTCAGTTAGTGAGGTTTTTATACCCTGATAAGATGCGTATAGACCCTACCCATCTATAGCTTCACTTTAAGGATGGAAAAGCAAGGGTATTTGTATCATTGTCCCTTTTCTACAGCATTGAGTTACAGAAACAGTTTGCCCTCTACAGTAGTGGTTCTCAAACTATTGTACTGGTGACCCCTTTTATACAGTAAGCCTCCATATGCGACCCCCCCCCTTATAAATTAAAAACACTTTTAAAATATTTAACACTATTATAAATGCTGGAGGCATAGCAGGGCTTGGGGGTGGAGGCTGACAGCTTGCAACCCCCCACATAAAATCCTCGTGATCCCCTGAAGGGTCACGACCCCCAGTTTGAGAACCCCTGCTCTACAGATAAATGACGAGACCCGCATTTACTTCGCTGTCCATTATACTCCTGATGGAATTCTGCACCACTGCAGAATGCAGAATTTGCACAGAATTAATGTTCCCTGCAGAATTTTATTTTTTCACGCAGAATTTGTGATTTCCACCAAAATGCTTCCTTTTTCCAGTTTTGTGTGTTTCAAATGTATTACAATGGAACCACAAGTATCCTGTCTAATAGGGACCAGAGCCAGATCGGATGACCAAAAATCCACATAAACTGGGGAGTGGGCAGGGTTGCCACCCATCCAGGTTTTACCCAGACAGATCAGTTTTTGGCTTCTCTGTCAGAGTGCCATTTAGGGTTGCCAGGTGCCTGGTTTTCGACCAGAAAGTCCAGTGTAAAAGGGTACCTGGCAACCCTAGGGCACCCAAACCAAAAGTCTTGTTATTGCGGGGGAGGGGTAGAGGTGGGATGCTGAGCAAGTGCTGGGGGCAGGGCCTCAAGGGAAGATGTGTAGCAGGGGCAGGGCCTTGGGGAAGTGGGGCTTCAAGAGTCCAGTTACTAGCAATTAGAAACCCTAACCAAAAGTCTGGTTATTGTGGGCTGGGCGGAGACTCCAGATTATTAACCCATGCGAGCCCCTGCTCTGTTGGGGCTGCCTCTTACCTGCAGGCAGGCTCCTTGAGACGATCCCATGAGCAATGGGGACCGGGCTTTGGGGAGAAGAGGTGTGAGCGACGGGGGCAGGGCTCGGGTGTCCGGTCACCAACAGCTAGAAGGGTGGCAACCCTAGTGGTGGGTGCTCTAGGTGTCAGCCCCTAGCGGCTGGTGGTTTGGTTAATAAGGAGAGCAAGATAATGGAGGCTTGGTTAAACTAGGTTCTGTTGTATTTAATTTCACGGAAACAAGATAACTGCCAATAAAAATACCTCAAGTTTTGTATTAATATGCCTAGTAAGGAATCTGTTTGTCAAAAAAACATTTTCTGAATCTTTTTGGTTGTCTGTATTGTTACAGACATACTTTCTGGCAGGTATTTTGAAATATTTTACAAAAATTGAAACTGGCATGATTATACCATGTTATTTTGACAAATAAAAATTTGCAGAATTTTAAAATATTATGCACAAAATTTTTAATTTTTTGGCGTAGAATTCCTTAGGAGTACCATTAGTACTCAATACCACTGAAACATTTTAAATTTTTAAACCAAAAAAATCATTCCATCACATTACTTGTACTTTAAACTTATTAATCTTTAACACCATTTTGCTAACAAACATATGCACATGTACCATTTTGTGCATTCACACTAACTTTTATATTGTAGGAGCTGAAATAGACTGTGAAGATAAGAATGGAAATACACCTTTGCACATCGCAGCTAGATATGGTCATGAGCTACTAATTAACACTCTAATTACAAGTGGTGCTGACACTGCAAAGTAAGTTACTGACTTGGATATAGGCTAAAATAGTTCAGAAATGCATTAATTAGTAAGCCAGAGTAATGTATTGTTTCACATTTCTTTCTTAGCTCTTTAAATGTTCAACATGAGATTAGAAATGCATTCAGTCATATTCTTTGCAGATACTGTATCTTGTTATAGTGTCACATCTCATTGTTGTTTAAACAATCAGAAAAGAAGTAGTAGACTGTGTTGCCAACTTGTACTTCAATATAATAGTTGAAATATGCAAGCCAAAACCTCATGCATTTTAACTGTCTGTCATGAATGAATGCATTATTTTTAGATTGAAAGCAAGCTTCTTAACATATTAAGAGATTTCCTTAGATCTAATCATTCTAATTAGATTTTGTTGTGGAAACCCTATATATGTGCAATTTGGCATGCAATCTTGATTCTTTTATTGTAATGAGACTATGATGTCTGATTATGCTGTATCTTAGGAGGGGTGTACATGGGATGTTTCCTCTCCATTTGGCAGCATTAAGTGGATTTTCAGATTGTTGCAGAAAGCTCCTTTCATCAGGTAGGATACTCTTTTAAAAATGTGTTGTGGTTACTACATATACATTAACCTTTTAGTATTTTCAGTTATATTTCACAATATTTAAGCCCTTTTTCAGTAGTACATAGAAATAATCAGTTAGCTTATTTATAGCTGAGGATTGTGCTAGCTAGTCTGAGCTACTTTGCATAGTTAAAGATGGAGCAAGCTTTCTGTGGTAAACCTAAATTTCAAAACTTGTAAAACTTAGCCAGAACTGAAGCAATATGCCTGAAATTTCAAGTGTGATCTTATGCACATATTTTCTGGAGGGATTGAGACAAACTAGACAAGTAGTTTAGGAACTATAGTGGTTCAAAACATGTGGTGATTTCACTTTAACATCTTCTTTACTTGCTCCTCGAACCCCAAATTGTCATGATTCCAGTACAACTTTGCCTAGAATAGTGCTGTTCAACCTGTGACTCTCCATGCTTTAACCTGTATGCCTTGAGGGCAACTGCATTAAGAACAATGTTTGTATTTGATTATGAATTAAAAACATATTCCCTGAGCAGCGCTCTGCAACTTTCAAACTGAAGTGTTTAATCAACCCCCTCACTATGAAGAAACTGTACAGGGTACTGCTTCCCCTGTGACCCCTGGATCAGCTCTGCTGTGAGCTGGGATTATGCTGAAAGGTGTCAGTCCCCTTTCAGCTGAATACCTACTGCATGGCAAGGAAGGGAAGACGTACTAATTTTGGCAGCTCCATAGTCTGCTTCCCTGATGAGATATGGAAACTCCAGGGGGCTCAAAAGGGAAGCTTGACTGTCTTGAGCCTAGGAGAGTGATTATCAAAAGGAGGACTCCCTTCCACACCACAGGGAAGTGTGGAAGCCTAGGAGAAGGGGAAAAGGAAGAGAAGCTGAGGAACCAAAATGTAGGCGTGTTGATTCTCTTCTCCAGCATCTTGCTGTAATTTGCACCAGCTGACAACTGTCCATTAGGTACCATGTGCAGCTGTAGGATAGGCAAAGCTTAGCATGCTCCAGCCACTTCCCCTTTCTGTCACAGTGCAAAGTTGTACTAGATGTATACCTACAGGAGACTTCCCCATGTCAAGGTAATCTCCATCAGAGGACTTGCAGATGATTTCCATTCTCTGTGTTAGTTGCACAAAGGGATGTGGACCAGCACACATAATCTAAAGCAGTGGTTCTTAACTTGTGGTGCATGCACCCCCAGGGGGTATGAGATGCCCTTTCTGGGGGTGCGAGACATGCCAGGTTTTTTTTAGAAGGTAAATAATCGAAAACACAAATTAAGAACAGGAACGTAAGTACAACTACTTTGTTTCATCAAACCGATGTATTTATTAACATTATACTTTAACGATTACTGTAATATACAAACAAAAATATATCTAGGTTTAAAGGTTTAAATATATCTACTTCAATGATTTTTGATAAGGGGTGCGAGAACATATTTTGAAAACCAAAGGGCTGCAGTAAAGGTTAAGAACCACTGATCTAAAGCATCAGTCATGGTTGCTTGACGATTTAAAAATTATATGTGCAGCACTCAGTCTGAAAAGATTGGACACCAGGAGCCTAGAAACTCCTGTTTAATAAGTTGATGTTATTGAAGATTGGTATCTTTGACTAGTGTATTTTTTTGCAGGGAGGAGGGTGAAATTAGTTGATTCATATATTAAGAACCCCTCTGGAATCTGAATTCATCCATCACAGTGATGCAAAGCTTGCAAAGTCTGCTTGTCCCTATATGGATGACCATTATGGAGACAGTGGTGTCAGGCAAGGTATTAGTGTGATGAGATGGACTGTTCAGTGAGCAGAACTGAGAAATACTTTGTACTTTGGGTGAGGCCTCCTAGGGGGTTAATGAGAGGGAGAGTGCCAAATAGGGGCAGTAGAGACAGCCCATATTAGTAATCTAGGGACCACTTCTCAAATCAGATCACTAACTAGCTTTATGTGCCCTCTCTATGCGAGAGGGAAATGGAGATGGGACACATACCTAGGGTCCATCCAGTTTGGGATGAAGAAAGAGGGGAAGCATAGTGGGGGAAAATGTGGGGAGAACTGGAATTCATCTCTGTGTAGTTCACTAATTCCGGTCACTAAGAAATTCTTAAATTAAGGAAAAAACAAAACAAAAAAAATTGAATCCCAGCAAAAAAACCTGAAATTGGAGTTATCGTTGTGAACATCTATCAGTTATTTGAAAGGGAAACTCTTAAGAGAATATTTGAGAAAACTACAACTATAAATGTAGCTTGGAAATTGTATTGAACTATAACTTTAATTTTAAATAATGATTAAGTATGGACTTGCACTGTTAAAGTCACTCAGACAACTGTAATTCTCCTAGTCCTTCACTGATATTCCATCCTGCATGCCTGTAATACATTGTGCCTAAAACAGTGGCATTTTAGTGAAAGAAATCTTGATAGGTCACTTGGGAACATGGGAATTGCCATACTGGATCAGACCAGTGGTCCATCTAGTCCAGTATCGTGTTTGACAGAAGTCAGTGCCAGATGTTTAGGAGGAAAGTACAAGAAACTCTTCAATGGACAGTTGTGGACTAGTTTTCTCACTGGGAAGTTTCTTTCTAACCCTACTTCAGTGGTTAGCTAAAGCCCTGAAGCATGAGTTTTTCTTGGGGTAGGAGGTACTCTAATGCAACTTAATGTTCTCATTATCCATTTGAATTTCTAATCCTTTTTTGAACCCTATTAAACTCTCGGCCTCTGTGATATTTGGGGTAATGAGTTTACAAGTTAATTTTGTGGTGTGCACAAAAGCATTTCTTCTTCTTCGAGTGGTTGCTCATGTGCATTCCACAATAGATGTGCGTGCGTGCCATGTGCACAGTTGCCGGAAGTTTTTCCCCTAGCAGTACCCGTAGGGGAGAGCGCCCCCCATGACCCCTGGAGTGGTGCCTGCCTGGCGTGGTATAAGGGAAGCTGCGTGCTCCCCCCCACCCTCAGTTCCTTCTTGCCACCAGTGAAGGTGCGTCAGAACTGCTCTGCTCCGCTCCAGCTTTGCTGTAGCTCGTCCCCAGAACTGTTCATTCGTTCAGCATTAGTACCTGTAGTTAGATAGCTGTTTAGTTAGTCAGTGAGCCCGAGCCGGGGCCATGCCCCGCGCCCGGGATTTAAGTTGTATGGCTCTTGTAGGCATTTTGTGCCAAGAAGTGACCCGCACGCAGACTGTTTGTGCTGCTTGGAAGAAACCTATATCAGCGAAAGGTGGAAGATTTGCAAGTCATTTAAGCCGCGGACTAAAAGAGAAAGGGATATTAGGCTCTGGGCCATCCTGATGGAGTTGGCGCTGACTCCGACCCCAGCACGCCGCTCCGAACTGGTACCCGGCACCGCGGCGTCGGTACACAGCCACCCTCCGGTGCCATCAACCAGTCGGCACCGCTCCTCACTCACGGGCACGCCAAGAGGGCCAGGAAGACTCCCTTTTCGCAGCGGCACCGAGGGAAGTCTGGGACAGAGGCTAGGCCCATGTCAGGCAGTCCTCGATTCCCACTGGGCCCCAGGCCTCTGACTCACATTGAGCAGAGTAGCCCAGCCCCTTTGGAACAGGCCTCTCCAGATGTCCAGATGCCGTCCATGCCTGAAGCCCTCCAGGTGGCCTGGGACAAGGTCTGAACCAGTACATGGTGAAGCTCAAGTTCTGCATGGTCTCTCTGGCCTCCATCATCCCCTCCCTGGATCCCAGGGACTGGTACGCTGCCCTCGATCTACAGGATGCATACTTCTACAACCACATATTTGAGGGGCACAGGCACTTCCTCCATTTCGTGGTGGGACAGAATCATTACCAATTCACGGTCCTCCCGTTTGGTCTGTCCACTGCCCCCACGGTGTTTACAAAATACATGTCAGTGGTAGTGGCCTACCTCAGACGGCGAGGGGTCCAGATATTTTCCTATCTGGATGACTGGCTTGTCAAGGACACCTCCCAGTCACAGGTGAGGGATCACATGGCACTCCTCCTGTCCACGTGCACTGCCTTGGGCCTATTGGTAAACAACACCAAGTCCATGTTAGTCCCGCTCCAATGCATAGAGTTTATCAGGGTGCTCCTGGACGCAGTGTTGGCCAGGGCCTCTCTCCTGCCAGTCAGATTCGAGACCCTGAAAACTCTCATGGATTTGGTCACAAGGTTCCCGGTAACAACAGCCAGGGTTTGCCTACAACTCTTGGGTCACATGTTGGCATGCACGTACATGGTCCGTTATGCCAGGCTCAGGATGAGGCCCCTCCAGCTCTGGTTGGCCTCGAAGTTCTCCCAGGCCACGGACAGGATGGACAAGGTCCTCACCGTGCTGGACTCTGTGATCACCTCCCTACGGTGGTGGTCCGCCCCAAACAACATGCTCCAAGGGGTCCCGTTAAGGGACAGGGCTCCGTCGTTGGAGCTGGTGTCCGATGTGTCCGACCTGGGTTGGGGGGCCCATGTGGGGAACTTTCAAACCCAAGGCCTGCGGTCGGCTCAAGACCTGACCTTACATATAAACGTCAAGGAGCTCAGGCCGGTGCGGCTGGCATGTATGGCCTTCCGCTCACACCTGGAGGGCAAGGTAGTCAGGGTCCTCACGGACTCAATGTTCTATACCAACAGGCAAGGCGGGGCCCAATCCTCTGCCCTCTGCTGCAAAGCCCTCAGGCTATGGGACTTCTGTATAGCCCACGACATCCACTTGAAGGCCTTCCACCTACCGGGCGCCTGGAACGAGAGGGGGGATTGCTTGTGCAAGGACTTTTCCTCACAACACGAGTGGTCCCTGCTCCTGGAAGTGGCCCACCGGCGATGCCCCCGGTTCTGCTCCGGGGGGCCTGGGGAGGGGTGCTATCTCCGATGTCTTTCTCCTGTCCTGGTCAGGCCAGCTTCTCTAACCTTTTCCCCCGTTCCCTCTAATCAGCAGGGTCCTGGAGAAGATAGACAGACAAGGCCCGGGTCCTCCTGATTGTCCTGGTGTGGCCCAGGCAGCATTGGTATGGGACCCTCATGGGCCTGGCAGTAGCTCCGTCTTGGCTGCTGCTGCTCCGCCCAGACCTGCTTCTCAGGACCAGGGCCGCCTCCTCCACCCCAACCTGGTGGCTCTTCACGTCGCGGCATGGCTGCTCAGTGGTTAGGTGGAGAGGAAAGAACGAGCTCAGAGCAGGTGCAGCACATCCTCCTCGAAAGTAGATGGCCCTGTGCTTATTTGGTGAAGTGGTCCCAGTTTTCTAGGTGTGCGGTGGACCAGGGTGTCTCCCCGGTGACCGCCCTGATCCAGCTTATCCTTGATTACCTCCTCCACCTGAGGACCCAGGCCCTGGTGCCCTCGTCAGTCAAGGTTCACCTGGCAGCCATATCGGCCTTCCATCCGCTGGTGCAAGGGTACACAGTATTTTCCCATGCTATGACTGGCAGGTTCCTTAAGGGTTTGGATCATCTTTTTCCGTATTCTAGACACCCGTTCTCGCAGTCTAAACCTGGTGTTGGCTCGTCTCATGGGGCCCCCGTCTGAACCAGTGGCCATGTGCTCCTGGGCTCACCTCTCGTGGAAGGTGGCCTTCCTGGTTGCAGTCATGTCGGCCAGGTGAGTCTCGGAGCTCAGGGTCCTGATATCCGAGCCGCCTTTACACAAAGACAAGGTCCAGCTCCGCCCACACCCCGCATTCCTCCCGAAGGTGGTCTCCGCCTACCACATGGGTCAGGACATTTTTCTACTGGTCCTCTGCCCCAAGCCTCACGCATCCAGTGAGGAGCGCCGTCTCCACACGCTCAATGTGCAGTGGGCTCTGGCTTTCTACCTCAAGCGGACCAAGCCATTCAGAAAGTCCTCACAACTGTTCGTCGCCTCGGCTGAGTGCGTGAGGGGCCAGCCGATTTCCACTCAGTGGCTTTCCAATCGGATCACTTTGTGAATCCGTTCCTGTTATGAGCTGGCAGGTGTCCCCCCGCCACCCATTGTGAGGGCACGCTCGACTCAGGCGCAGGCCTCATCGGCTGCCTTCGTGGCCCACGTCCCCATCCAGGACATTTGTAGGGCTACCACGTGGTCTTCGGTTCACACGTTCACCTTGCACCATGTGATTGTCCCCCAAACCAGGGATGATGCCAGGTTCGGCAGGGCTGTCATCCGTCCTGGGATCTTGTGAACTCCTAACCACCTCCAACAGATATAGCTTGGAATCGCCTATTGTGGAATACACATGAGCAATTACTCGAAGAGGAAAAGACAGTTACCTTTTCCGTAACTGGTGTTCTTTGAGATTTGTTGCTCATGTCTATTCTATATCCCACCCTCCTTCCCCTCTGTCGGAGTTGTCTGGCAAGAAGGAACTGAGGGTGGGGGGAGTGCGCAGCTCCCCTTATACTGCACCAGGCAGGTGCCACTCCACGGGTCGTGGGGGGCACTCCCCCCTGCGGGTACTGCTAGGGGAAAAACTTCCGGCACCGGTGCACATGGCGAGTACGCACACCTATTGTGGAATAGACATGAGCAACGCATCTCGAAGAACGCCACTTATGGAAAAGGTAACTGTCGTCTTTTCTTGGTTCTCAGTTTGCCGCCTTTCAGTTTCATTGTACTTTCTCCGTGCAATTTATTGTTTCATTTCACTTCAGTCACATTCTTTCTTATACTTGGTAAATCCACTATTTTCTTAGGAAGTCTAATTTGGAATTAACATACTTTTGGGGCCATATTCTCTCCTGCACTGAGATTAGTTTGGGTGTGACACTGGGCAAAAAGTTACCCTACCCTGATTGTCATGGAGCCAGTCCCAGTTCATTAGCTTAAATTAGAAAAATCCCTGAATTGCTCTAACATATGCCAGATGACTGTGGACCTTTCCCAGTTGTGAGTTGAAGTACGTCAGGTGAGCCCTGTGAGGTGCGGGTGGGGGGAGTTCTCTCACTTTATTCCACTTGAGAGCTACCAGAACAGAGAAATGGAACCTTTGTAGAAAACAAAGTTGTGTTATACATAAGCATATCTTTTTTTTACCTCCCACTCTGTTCCCCTACTATTAATATTATCTTCGAAGAATGACTTCTTTAAACCCCATGTTCCCCCTCAGCATAGCATGCTTAGAATCATGTATAAAGCACTGTTCTTTTGACTGTGCATGTGTGTGTATGCTAATCAGATAACCGTGCTTTTGATATCCTGACTCCTATGGCGGATTGTCCTGAGTGAGGAAGCATTTAGCAGAGATGTGGGCTGGGTTTGTTTCTTTCTCTTTCTTTTTCTCTTTTTTCCTTTTTGTTCTTTTTTCTCTTCATGAACTGCATAGGGACTTAAAGAAAACAAGAGGTGTTTGCTGTAGTGAGGTAAAACTAACCTATCAACACAAGTAAGGTAATCCAGTTAGATGATCATTGTTGAGTTTTCAGAGTCAGTAGTGTAATGATGTTGTATGTCTTAAGCAGGCCGTCCCTAGGGGTGTACGGGGCCCGGGACATAGGCAACGAGTTTCTAATCTACTGGGGGGTGCTCCCCAAGGCCCCACCCCAGTTCCGCCCCTTCCCCCAAGCGGGCTGCACCTTCACTTCTCGCCCATCCCCCCCAGCGCCTCCTGACACTGTGAAACATCTTATCCACGGTAGGTGCTGAGAGGGAGGGGAATATGCTGATCGGCAGGGCCTGTTGGCGGGCAGAAGGCGCTGGGGGTGAGGGGAGGTTCTGGTTCGGGGGCTGCTCCTCCCTCCCTCCCGCCTGCCGCTCACCTCCCCTTTAGCCTCCTCACCCCGCTTGCCCTCCTGCCTCACCTCCCCACCCACCTCCTGCACGAGGCAGTCACCCCAAGTCAACGAACCCAAGGGACGGCTCTGGTCTTAAGTATTGGATAGTCTCCTAGCAGTTGTTTCTGAGAGCAGTGATACAAAAGCAAAGTTAAGGCTCCATTGGTGACCTTAGTTGTGCATCTCCCTACTTTCAAATATTTGGATTTAAGTTTGATCTTAAATTTGAATTTCCAGGGTTCGTATAACATTTTTTGAGAAAACTACACCATTCTCTAAAGGCCTTTTTCCCCTTGAGTAACTGGTGTTTATAATCTTCACTCCATTTTAACCAAGTTCTTTGCCTGGGAATAGAGAACTAAGCTGAAGGATGAAATAATGTGATTAGCTTCTGGATTTAGTAATGCTGACATTCCCTCCCTGTAAAAGATTGGTATGCAGAACGCTGAATGTTAAGGTGAGTAGTATTAGCTTATGCTTAAAGTTGCTATTGCATTTTTCCATAAATAAATGTTTCAGTATCAGATATAAAAATGTTGGTATTTTTAACAGAAGGGATAAACAAAGACACTCCTATCAGAAATTGCTTTTAGCCCTAATGTCATTAAAGATAAGTTTCCATTGTTACCTTTGTCATTTTTAACGGAATACACATTTCTTGAAATATTGCAAACAACATGGTTTTATTTCAGATGCAGTATATTTTTGTGTTTCAACATTTACTGTTGTAAATAACATAAACTACAGCTTAATTATTGAAGGGCAATTTGGTGAAAGGGTTGAATTACATACATGGTTTCACAATATACTAACTTATTTTGTAGGCTTTGACATAGACACCCCAGATGATTTTGGCAGGACCTGCCTTCATGCAGCTGCAGCTGGAGGGTAGGTAGCAGCTCTGCCTTCACTTTAATTTTTTTTTCTTAAATCGTTGATCCTGACAGTGTTTTTCTCCTCTTTTTTCCCCCAAGGAGCTTTGTAGGTATGAACATAACTTCAAGACGGTGTCTTTCTACAAGCTTTAAAAAGGCATAAACTGCAATTTCTACTCAGTCATCAATCTTTTATTGTAATGACCAACAGAATCAGTTACTCCTGGGGGAATTCTGCATCAGTGCGCGTGCATAGAATTCATGTCCCTCGCAGATTTCTTTGCTTCCCTGCAGAAAAATGACTTCTGATGGGGGAGCAAAGGGAAGCCGCAAGAGTGGTCACAAGCCCCTCCCCGGCAGTGTAGGCAGTTTGGTGCGGGTGCCTGGAGCAGCCGGTAGAGATGTAAATCACCTGGGGGATGGGCAGGGGTGGGTGGTGTGGGTGTGTGACACTCTGTCCCTCTCGCTCGCTATTGCAGCATGTTCGGAATGGAAGGGCAGGGCTTCGGGGTGTTTCTGAGCAGGTAGGTGTAGGACAGGCTCTGCTCCCTCAGGCAGAGCAGAATGCAGCAGCCTGCCTGCTTAGTGAATTATTCCCCTTGTCTTTGTGAATTCCCCAGGAATATAAAATAGGTGTAAAAGTTTTAAGGCTCCTTTACATTGCCAGAGTGCTGTAAAGGACAGTACGGCCTTATAAATGCTTATGTTGCTTTCGTGATTAGAATGGGTCTAACTTTTTGGACTGAAAAAATTTCCTATCAGACTGTACTCCATGAAGTTTGCTAATTCCTTTTCTGGAGATGGTCAGTAGCTAATATAAATTGTGAGTTTGATTTCCCCAGTCTTCACTTTCTCTTCAGTTGTTTGATGTAACGCTGGGCAAATGGCTGCATATATATGTTGCCTAATAACTAGAAATAAAGGGTGAAACCTATCTACATTACTATTAGGCAAGGGGGTTTGGGGATTTCCTCCAGTGTTCCCCACTTCCATTATCCATCCATTATATTGTAGTTTAAATAAATTACTGAAATAATGGAAACCAAAGTGATTATGTTGCATTATTTTGATAAATAAAATATGCAGAATTTTAGAATATTGTGTGCAGAAATTTTAATTTTGTGGTGCAGAATTCCCCCAGGAGTAATCTGTGTTATTCCAGTTTCAGGATTGTCTCAAAATGGATTAATTTTACTTGTATGTTTTACTACCTATAGAAAGTACAGACCATGTTATTTAGGGCTATCATTTACCAGAACCCTATGTTAGGAGCACTTTGGAGACGCATGGTGAAGGGGTATGGTACCACCACCTCACCTGCTTGCTTCGCTTATCCCCTTTCCACTCAGTTGCTTACAGTGGGGCATAGGAGCTGTAATTCTGGGCAGCCCTTTGAAATAGGCTGTACAGAGTTGGGGGAGGGCTCTCTACTGCCTTTCCCCATGCACAATTATGTATGAGCTAGCTACAACTTTACCCTCTGTGTGTATATCTTTATAGTATATGCTGTTTGTTATATTTATAAACATTTGGATATTAGATGACTTCTTTCAGCAAATGAAGGGTGCTAACTTATTTTTGATTATTCACTAAGAAAACATGTTTTAGATGTTTTTACCAGCATGTGAGGGAAGCTGAGGATAGCATGAATGTGCTCACACACAGTAAGAGCCTGGGAAACCTGTATGTTTAGCATATACCTGCACATAGATTTGTCAAGCTAAATTTTGCATACAGTAACAAAGTTCTGGAGTTCAGTTAACCAGAAGCAAGGAAATTTTGATTAATAGTGCTCATGGATGGATTGTGATCTGAAGAATTCAGACCGTAGAAGAACTAGTATTTGACTAGCATTTTTTCTCTAGGTGGGCATCTTAAGGAGTGCATGTAAACATATAGGCCTTGATTCTGCAGACACTTCATGCTTGTGACTAAAACCACAATATTAGTCCCATTAACTTTGGCCACCCATTAATAAAGCCAAGCATGTGCACAGGTATTGGGAGGAGCAGTGGATTAGTCACTATAAAATTAGAGTACAGAGTAGCTATTCAATATTGCCTAGAAAAATTGGGCAGTAGATTGTCGTACATGCTCAAGTGCACACAGCTTTCAGGAAATCAAATGGCCAATGCTGCATGCACATATAATTTTAAAGTAATATAATAAAACCAAGTGTAATTTTTATGTTTGGGGATTTTGGGGTGGTTGTTTACTGGTAGAGCCCTGCAAATTGGTGGATATCCACAGACCATTTTTGCGATCGTGAGTGGATGAGGATACACATTTTATATCTAAAGCCCAGCAAATCTGCAGATATCCGTGGATCATTTTTGCAGATCAGATGTGAAATACAAATTTTTTTATCCGCATAGGGCTCTATTTACTGGTATAAAACATTATCCTTGGAATAAAAATTACTTACTTGTGATGTTACCTCACTCCCATCCTCACAGTTAGGCTTCATATCGTAATTGTCCTGTGTCTCTGAAAAATATTCACAGCTATTGCCATAAATATTTTTAAGATAGCGTTCTTCATAATGCAGTATCAAAGATAGCATATACATTGCAAACTTTGTTTTTCCTGTCACTTATTAATTGGCTTTAAAACAAACAAAAATTTATAAGTAAAAACTTGCCACGGGCTGAATCTTGGCAAAAAGCTCTTAGCATGCATTAATTTTTTCTATTAAGTTTCCATCAAATTAGAAGTGTATTTACTACTTGAGGACATTGCTCTTGTTGATTTCAAAAGGCACGCTACATAAACATCAAAATTCCCACATTTGGACCAAGGACAGTTTGTGGTCCTTAATATTTTCTTCTACAACTTTAAAGTCTGTTTTTGGTGGTGTTTTGTATGTAAAATATAGTTTGATTCATTATCAGTAAAAATATTGTTGTGTGATAAATAACTGTACAGAAATTCTGATAGTTTGTAAAGGGCGCTGTGTTCTTGAAAATTTAATTTGCAATCAATGTTGCATTAATTTAATAGGAATTTGGAGTGCCTAAACCTTCTGCTCAACACTGGTGCAGACTTCAACAAAAAGGACAAATTTGGGAGGTAGGACACAACATTCTAAGTGTGTGGAATTTAGAACTTCATTAAAATATGCACATAAGTAGCACAATAGTTCTGTGTGAAGGAGCCCATATTCCATCACAATACATTGCTTTTGGAGTGATTGTATTCATAATAAATTGTTGGGTCCCCATCCAAGCACTACAACCAATTTAGTCTAAGCATCTTATTGAAAGTTTAAGATTATAAAAAAGTCACAAGGTGTTTGATTTGTTACATTCTGTTATATAGTTTTGTGTATTTTAGTATGTATTTGTTTTTTCTTTCAAATTGTCCAATTGATCTCATATGTTACTGTAACTTTAATAAAGATGTTTTTGGTGTAAGGTGCATCCTGATGGGTTTAAGTGGCTCTCAACCTGTAGATTTACTGATTTTTCCTCATTAGCCCACGTGTCAAGGCTATAAATGCTCTTGTGAGCTGTAGCTCACGAAAGCTCATGCTCAAATAAATTGGTTAGTCTCTAAGGTGCCACAAGTACTCCTTTTCTTTTTGCTTCATCAACCTGTTCACTTTGCCACTTCTGAACATTTTGCAATCTTATATTTTTTTTTAAAGTAAAATCTAAATTCTTTTAATAAAATAACTTTCCTTTTTACCTCCATCCATCCCTTCTTCATATAGCTTTCTCTTGCTTTTACTCTCACTCTGGACTTTCTTCAAATAACCCACTGCTATTGCTAGCCTCAGATTGTTATTTAAGTGCAGAAAGCATGGTTAGTGCTTGTGAAAGACACTAATTAAAGACAGCCAAAGAGATTACAATCAGAAAGACAATAAGAAGAGATGCTCTGGAAGAACCAGAGGCAAGAATTTATCATAATTTAAAAATATTCTTCATAGCATCAATGGTTTAGTGGAAATGGTCCCTCAGTCCTTGGTTGAGTGACAGGAGTAGGACTCCAGCAGAAGTATCTGACTGTGAATCATGTCTCCGTTTGAAATCCTACTTGCACCCTTGGCTGAGAATAGAGGGGTTAATTGTAGTAGTTTTCCCTGTGGAAGCTGCACTTAAATTTTTGTTGGTCTGCTGATTATATTTCATAGAATCCTAGAATATCAGGGTTGGAAGGGACCTCAGGAGGTCATCTAGTCCAACCCCCTGCTCAAAGCAGGACCAATCCCCAACTAAATCATCCCAGCCAGGGCTTTGTCAAGCCTGACCTTAAAAACTTCAAAGGAAGGGGATTCCACCACCTCCCTAGATAACACATTCCAGTGCTTCACCACCACCCTCCTAGTGAAAAAGTTTTTCCTAACATCCAACTTAAACCTCCCGCACTGCAACTTGAGACCATTATTCCTTGTTCTGTCATCTGCTACCACTGAGAACAGTCTAGATTCATCCTCTTTGGAACCTCCTTTCAGGTAGTTGAAAGCAACTATCAAATCCCCCCTCATTCTTCTCTTCCGCAGACTAAACAATCCCAGTTCCCTCAGCCTCTCCTCATAAGTTGTGTTCCAGTCCCCTAATCATTTTTGTTGCCCTCCACTGGACTCTTTCCAGTTTCTCCACATCCTTCTCGTAGTGTGGGGCCCAAAACTGGACACAGTACTGCAGATGAGGCCTCACCAATGTCGAATAGAGGGGAATGATCATGTCCCTCGATCGGCTGGCAATGCACCTACTTATACATCCCAAAATGCCATTGGCCTTCTTGACAACAAGGGCACACACTGTTGACTCATATCCAACTTCTCGTCCACTGTAACCCCCAGGTCCTTTTCTGCAGAACTGCTGCCTAGTCATTCGGTCCCTAGTCTGTAGCGGTGTGTGGGATTCTTCCGTCCCAAGTGCAGGACTCTGCACTTGTCCTTGTTGAACCTCATCAGATTTCTTTTGGCCCAATCCTCCAATTTGTCTAGGTCCCTCTGTATCCTATCCCTACCCTCCAGCGTATCTACCTCTCCTCCCAGTTTAGTGTTATCTGCAAACTTGCTGAGGGTGCAATCCACACCATCCTCCAGATCATTAATGAAGATATTGAACAAAAGTGGCCTCAGGACCGACCCTTGGGGCACTCCGCTTGATACCGGCTGCCAACTAGACATAGAGCAATTGATCTCTACCCAGCTTTCTATCCACCTTATAGTCCATTCATCCAGCCTATACTTTTTTAACTTGCTGGCAAGTCTACATTAGTGTAAACTTCGAACCTGTAAATTGGTGTCCACGTGGGGAACTGTGGTGCATACTGCTATTCCCAATCCCTGTGTCCAAATTGCGGGATAGTATGAACATGCCCTTAGATCCCTCAGTCACTTGTGTAAAATTTTCAAAAGCACCTAGGTCACTGACTTCTGAAAATTGTTTATATACTATATTATGCTTTGTAATCGTTTTCCCCCCAGGCTGAGTAATTCATCAATATAATATTTCCATGTGAAATTCAAATTTCAAGTTTCTTTAAAATCAAATGCATATTTTAAAAAAATCGTCAGTTGTTTTATTTTCTATACAAGCATATATTTTTGGTACATTAAGACGGGATGAAACAAATAGACACACCGTAGGACTCCACATTACACCTCAGTTTTGTTCTCAAAACCCTACTGAGCACTCCACACAAAATTACTTTAGGTGTTCTGCAGGAAGGGTTAAATTTCACCCTAAATAAACAGTTGCATTTTGTTCCGGTCTTTCTTGGTGGCTTTGCACTATGGATGATCAGATTTGCTCCTGTTTTGTCAGTGAATGGCCTACAATTAAATTGTTTGAACAAATAGATCTTTCAATAATTATTTTTCATTTTCCTGTGCATGTATGTACACCTCTCAACACCCACAAACTGTCCATGTATTGGCTGACAAATATGTACCCTGGACTGCTATTACACTTTTTAAAATGATTTTTACGGAACCATGTAATATTTACATATTAGAACTGAATTATTCAGCCAATAATAAAATAGAATATAAACATGTTTTTAAAATTTCATTTTATTTTGCATTTTTGTCATTAATCTGTTGTATGTCTTTCTCTTGTATTTGAATGTGTACTAAAGAACTCCACTTCATTATGCTGCTGCCAATTGTAATTACCAGTGCCTGTTCGCCCTTGTGGGATCTGGAGCTAGTGTGAATGACCTTGATGAGAGGGGTTGTACACCATTGCACTATGCAGCTGCATCAGACACAGATGGCAAGTAAGTGTCATGTCATACGAAAGGGTGAATATTTAAAGACTTCAGAGCTGCTGTATTTTGTTTTCTTACTTTCTGTAATCATATATGCCAAATGTAATTTTTATATTTCTTTGAAGATGGCTAAATTGAATGTGTTTATTGGTCTGTTCAGAATACAAGAAATACTTTGGTTTAAACATGTTGAGGTTTTCTGTTTTTTTTTCCCCCTCCCCATACAGCTAGGTGTATTGTAATCTTCTGGATTTTAATGTTGAAGTCTTAATTGGCTATACACTGTGGATTAAATTCCTGCTCTGCACAAAGTAAATGTGATCTGGGTCTTGGCTGTTTATGAGACTTCCAGATATCTATACTAGAGGAGTCATTTTTTCTAAAAATTCCGATATTTCAGCTCTAGAGGATTGGAGGCAATATGTTTTAGGTGATAGGTCCTTGACTCTCCCATTTGTTTCCTTTGCTGGATCATCAGACTTAATGCTGTAAGACCAGTCTGAGTTATCCTTATCCTGAGGTAGGCTGAATGTAAAATATTTATTTAAATACATAAACATTTTAACATTTATAGGCGAAGATTGCTTTATGACTTTTGTCTTCATTATGGTAACAGTAAAAAGGATTCTCTTGTTACAGCTGACAAGTTTGGTCAAATTTCTTGTTTTTTTATTAACGAAATGTGCTCAGAAGCTTTTTGTATTACATCAAAACTAAAAAGACTGTCATTGTTCTGGGATAGCACAAGAAGAGATGTTCTGCATAAAGCTTGCAATCTCAAGACCCAACATGTAGAAGTAACAAACAGAAAGAGAGAGGGTGATGGTAACAATGAGAGGCACATGTGATACAGAATAGCCGTGCATAACTTATTGGGCCTTTTTAAGTGTAAATAAAGAGTAGAGATACCAGTAATCACTACTGGCCATTTTAGTAGGCATTAAAGTATATATACCCCTTCCATGTAACGTCTAGGTTTTTTTGTTGTTTACCTGCTACTTCTCTGTTAGGTATGTAATCCCACTTCCTGCTGGCATTTGTTGAGGGGTATTTACTTTAATTATCACTTAAATCATTCCAAGATTCCAAGTTTCACAGTTGCTCTCAAAGACATCAGTGCCTCAGCGCCAGAGTGAGTCTTCAGCACCAGAGTGAGGTTACATTGTTTTGCCAGCTGTCTTGCAGAGGTTAGAGGATGAATTATGATAGTAATATTTCAGTGCTTTGGGAAATAACTCAAAGAATGATCTCCAAAATCCCTGAAATATTAATGTTCTGATGAACAGTTGGCTCTCTGGAAGACAGACTGCCAAGTAGTAGAACCTTTGAAGCAGCTTTTTGAGTGGATGCAGCAACATGCTTAAGACCAGTTGGAAAACAAGTTCTGTCTGGCTCACATTCAGAAGGAGATTAATAATAAAAACAGATAAAACTGGAAATTAGTATTGGGCTGGAATATAAGTGCTGGAGACAATGTCAGGTAAGTAATCTATATGGAATCTCTGGAACATTTGTGTGCTTTTTCATAAAGTTTGTGCAGATGTTCCCAGAGATGACTTTCTGAAACAATGGCACTCTTCCTACCTTCTCCCCATTTATAAAAAGCATTGATTGATCACAGGATGACTGTGGGCTGCCATGAAAATGCCATGTGATGCAGCTGTGAAAAAGGCTAGGATGCATCCAGTAAGGGAAGTGTTAGTACCATTTTACAAGGCACTGGTGAGACCTCATCTGGAATACGGTACACAGTTTTGGTCTCCCATCTTTAAGAAAGATGAATTCAAGCTGGAAGAAGTGCAGAGAAGAGTTACTAAGATGATCTGAGGAATGGAAAACATACCTTATGAGAGGAGATTCAAAGAGCTTGGCTTGTTTAGCCTAACCGAAAGAAGGCTGAGGGGAGATATGATTGCGCTTTCTAAATACATAAGAGGAATAAATACCAGGGAGGAAGAGGAGTTGTTTAAGTAAAATGCCAATGTTGACCCAAGAACAAATGGATATAAACTGGCCATCAACATGTTCAGGCTTGAAATTATACAAAGGTTTCTAGCCATCAGAGGAGTGAATTTCTGGAACTGCTTTCCAAGGGGAGCAGTGGGGGCAAAAAAAATCTAACTGGCTTCAAGACTGAGCTTGATAAGTTTGTGGAGGAGATGGTATGATGAAGTTACCTACAATGCCATGCAGCTGATCTACGACTGCTAGCAGCAAACATCTCCAACAGCTGGTGATGGGACACTAGATGGGGAGGGCTCTGAGTCACTACAGAGAATTCTTTTCCAGGTGTCTGGCTGGTGGGTCTTGCCCACATGCTCAGGGTGTAACTTATCACCATAATTGGGGTTGGGAAGGAATTTTCTCCTGGGTCCAGTTGGCAGAGACTCTGGGTTTTTTCGCTTTCCTCTGCACCATGGGGTACAGGTGACTTGCCGGTTTAAACTAGTGTAAATGGTGGATTCTCTAACTTGAAGTCTTGAGTCTTCAGTAACTCATCCATAGGTTAGGAGTCTATTACAGGAGTGAGTGGGTGAGGTTCTGTGGCCAGCAACATGCAAGAGGTGAGACTAGATGACCATGATGGTCCCTTCTGACCTTAAAGTCTGAGTCTTTGACCTTGTCTACACTAGAAATTACTTTGGTGTAACTTATGTCGCTCAGTGGTGTGAATAATCCGCACCCATGAGCAACATAAGTTATACCGACGGAAGTGCCAGTGTAGACAGTGCTATGTCAGTGGGAGAGGTTCTCCTGCCAACATAACTACTGCCTCTTGTCGGAAGTGGAGTATTTAAGTGACGGGAGATTTCTCTCCCATCAGCTTAGAGCGTCTCCCCCACAAGCGCTTCAGCAGCACAGCTGCATCAGTGTAGCTGCGCGGTTGTAAGTGCTGTAGAGTAGATGTAGTCTGTCTCCAGAGTATGTTTAACAATACTTGTATTCCTGGGAATCAAACTAGCAAGCCTTAAGTCTGTATCAGATAAATTAGTTGAAAAAAATAGAGTGAGTTATAAAACAATAGGGATAAGCTTTTGTAGAGGAAAGTCATGCTTCAACCTTTTTAGAAATATTTGACAGTCATCAAGCTAGCAAATAAATGAGAGGTAGACATAATATGGACTGGAATATAAGTGCTGCCATATTAATATGGACTTAGTGCTGTATACCACATGAGGTATAGCACATGTTGTGATAGGCACATGTAGGATCCATGGATCTTGAAAGATGTGTTAGTGCACTAAATGCCCCAACAACTATGTGGGTGAACCCAGACAATCACTATGCTTTCAAATAAACTCACACAGGAAAATGATAAAAGACAAAAACACCCTATCACCTCTGAGTGAACACTTTTTTCACAAAGCAATCACTCTATATCTGACCTATCAGCCCTCATCCTCAAAGGAAACCGGCACAACACTTTCAAAAGATAAACCTGGGAGCTTAAATTCATTACTCTGCTAGACACTAAAAAAGTCATGGACTGAACAGACACATTGGATTTATGGCTTATTACACAATCTGTAACCCACTAACCTCCTCTTTTTATCTTATGACTGCTGAGGTATTAACAGATCATTCTGCCTTGAATGGTCCCTTACAATCGGTGCTAACTACTTTTGCTAAACAATATGCTCCTCCTTGCATTTTGCTGTCACTGTACCTTTCCCCAACCTGAAGAAGAAATTTTACTTGAGATATATCAACCTTCACGCAACAAGGCATAAGCCAACCATTGACTGTCTGGGGTTAGGAAGACACTGTCTCCCTAGGCATATTACATATGTAAATGTCTGTTGTGATGGTCTTACATGCTCCTCTACATCTTCTGGTACTGCTCTTTGTCCGTCTGAATACTGGGATACACGGACCACTGTTTGATGTAGTAAGGCATGGCAGTTTGATGATTCTATTTGTTGCATATAATAAAATTGGACTTTTTGTATTTTCAAGGCAAGTACTAGTTTACCAATTAATAAAAAGTTGAATTTTAACATTAATATGGTTCTCATTTGTCACTTCTCACAGGTGCCTGGAATACTTACTAAGAAATGATGCAAATCCAGGGATCCGAGACAAACAAGGATACAATGCAGTTCATTATTCTGCTGCCTACGGTCATCGCTTGTGTCTTGAACTGGTAAAAAAACAAAACAAAAAAAACCCCCGACTTACTGTGAAATAGTTACTATCTACCTGTAGAGTTCTTCTAGGTTAGGCTGCTGGCCTAGAATTTAAGATCCAGGTTTAATTCCCTACTCTGTGCAACCTTCCACACATGTTGCACAAGTCACTGAGTCTCTCTCTGTTCCCCAACTGTCAAGTGGGGATGAAAGTACTTCTTTACTTCACAGGAGTGTTCTGAAGATAAAAACATTAAAGATTATGACACACTTGCATACTGTGGTAATGAGGACATCTAAATAACTTAGACAGAATCAAATGGTTGAAAGGATTGTTGTTCTAGATAGTGGGATAACACAGAATATTTTTTGTTTAAACTATAATTTTTCTTCTGTTAGCTAAAGTATTAAAACCACTAGTAGCCCTCTGAGATGTGTTAACTGATTTAATATGAGCTCCTATGGATTAAAAACAAGAGCATAATACGTTTTGCCTGAGAGAGATTTACTTATTTGAAAGCAAAGGATCTAATTTTGAAATATTTTGATCATAATATTGCAGTGACTAGTGGCGACATAATACATTTAAATAACAGCTTCACAGTAGATTTTGATCAGCACTTGGCACAAAAGTATACGATTTGACATTTGTTTTCTGTTCCATGTTTACAGTTAGTACTTATATATTAAAATTACACTTGTATTTTCAATTTTTTCAAGCCTGTTGACCTAAATTTTTTTTTTAAATTTTAGATTGCAAGTGAAACTCCCCTAGATGTTGTAAGTGTGTACACTTTATCATTAAAGTATTGTATAGCAAAATGGAGCATTATGTCTCAGAATACTATTGCTTATCCTAGTGTGTCCAACTGTGTGCTTTCCAGTGAACAGGCATGCATTTTATATTAATACTACTACTACTTATTATTATTATTATTACTTCTTGTATTACCATAGCACCTACGAACCGTAGTCATGGACCAAGAACCTGTTATGCTACGTGCCATACAAACAGGAAAAAAGACAGTCCCTGCCCCAAGAGGCTTACAATCATATATATAAAGTTTGAATTGGTTTAACCAGTTACATGATCATATTTAGAAATTGCCTAGGCCTGCTAATTGCAATTGCTTTTCAAGTAGAGTGGAATTTCAGTGGTTGGAACCATTCTTTCTAAACAAACTGATAGGTCCCTGTCTATTAATTCAGTTATCCAGATGTACTGGGTGGTGTCCAAGCATTTTGAATAGTTGGGATTCTGCTGTATTTAATTAACTGCAGTCCTGAAAAAGAATCTACGTTAATACACGAAGCAAATTTTGAATGGGCCACCACAGGAAAACACACAGGGATTTTTAAACTCATTTTATAATACTGTATGTGCCTTGATTCATCTCTTCCTTTTCATGTAAATTTGTGGTTTTTCTCTCCTCCTTCCCCTTGCTGCTGAGGATTGCTTTGATTAGGCTTTCTATGTCTATTTTCTTCATTGCTTTTCCTTCTCCTTCTACTCTTCCCCTTACTTATCATATGTTCCCCACCTATCCAGTGTTCCTTATTGGATAAACTGTTTGTTTGCTTTTATTTAAAAAAGAAAATACCTTATTTGGGAAGAATTTCTTATTTGAACAGTTCAATGTGAAGCCAAATGAAACACCTGCTAGTTGGGCAGGGGAGATGCAGGAAGAGTGTTGCCTTTACAGCCCGAAGCCTTTAAAAGATTGAAATAGTCATTTATATAATAGTTGCAGGGGAAAAATACCATGTCTGTGGAATTTTTGTGCAGTTTAATCTGTAAGTGGTGAGGGATAGCAATTCCCATACTATTGTTGAAGGGTGTATTTTAAAACCTTTTTCTTGCATTTAATCTATATTTGTATTTCTGCTAGCTAATGGAAACATCAGGTACTGACATGCTGAATGATTCCGACAACAGAGCACCAATTAGTCCATTGCATTTAGCTGTAAGTATTTCATTCGCTAGTGATTGTTGGTCTACTGAATCATATAGATGTATGCACAACAGTTTTTTGACTGATGCAAGATAGTTTTGGTCCATGCCAGATGTTTATTCGCAGGTCAATATCAGTAGTTTTCAATTAGCAATATACATGCTCTCTTACATGAGTTGCATAAGATTTTGTATATCAATTGTAAATGTGCTCTTGAAGAAACACTGTCAACATCAAATATGTTCAGTATTAAAAAAAAAAAAAGTTAAAACTGGTTTCAAGTACTGTACCTGCTGCTGAATTCCCTTGCCAATTTTTTATTATTTAGAGCAACCTTTCCCTATTTTAAAAAATGTTTTTCTCTCCCCTGTTGTTTGTGAAAGACACACACAAATTATCAGGAAACTGACTACACAGGGAAACCAATCATACAAAAGTGCAGTGAAATGCAAAGTAAGCAAGCTTGAATTAAGTATTTTTTTCCTCTAATCATTGTTTTACTTGTAATACGAATAGGTTAAAATAATTAAAAAGTGTCCCCTTCTAAATAAGTATAAAGCAAATATTAAAAATTGATGGTGCATAGGTATGACAAACACATGTGTTTTTGATACACAGGACCAAAAGAAATTATGTGGCATCAGTAAGGTGACTGCTAAAAATTAGCAATAGAAAAAAAAAATTAGAGGGGACTAGTCCTGGAATTATATGAGGACACTGGCTTGTGACAGAGTGCTGAAACCTGACAGGTGAGTCAGCACTCCGATCTCTGTAGCCTCAATTAGTTTCCCCAGTGACGGCTAATTGAACAATTAGCTAATCAGAAAGATTGGCTAAGGAGGTCAGAAATTAATTAGCCCTCAGCTAGTTATAAAAGCTGATAAAGGCCAGGAAGGAACTGTTACAAAGGGGGTGAGGACAGGGCTAGCTGAGTGTAGAAAGAGAGCGCTTCCAAGAGGGTGATCTCTTTTCCTCCCGGGGCCCTAGCAAAGAAGGGCTGAAAGATGTAGAGACTTAAAACTGTGGTGTTAGACTGAACTGGTGTGGGTGGAAGGCTTAGAATAAAATACAGCCTGAACACTAAAAGAAAACGGGTCTGAGCAGTTTCTGGAGTACTGAGAATGAGGACAGTGTGTTGCCCCGTTATAGACTAGACAGCCAAGGGGGTATGAAGGATCCCTGACAACTTAAATAAAAGGAGTACTTGTGGCACCTTAGAGACTAACAAATTTATTTGATGCATCCGATGAAGTGAGCTGTAGCTCACGAAAGCTTATGCTCAAATAAATTTGTTAGTCTCCAAGGTGCCACGAGTACTCCTTTTCTTTTTGCGAATACAGACTAACATGGCTGCTACTCTGAAACTTAAATAAACATATTATTTATTTATGTATTTATTTATTTGTGTAATGGCTTAGACCAGCACTTGAAGTTGTTTGATTGTTCTTACAGCTGTACCATGGCATTTGACACGTTGTCATGACAGGTCTACACAGTAGATTTCCCACAATTATCCATTCTAGTCTTATTGCATCACTTTCCGAATCTTCTCCATTCTGCCAACAATGCTTCAACCACCTGGTCTGTTTTTTTTTTTTTTTTTTTTTCTTACGGCGAATTTTCTGTATGCAGTGTGGTTGTAGCTGTGTTGGTCCCAGGATATCAGAGATACAAAGTAGGTGAAGTAATATTTTTTATTGGACCAACTTCTATTGGTGAGACAAACAAGCTTTGGAGCCGCACACAGCTCTTCTTCAGGTCTGGAAAAAGTACTGTGAGCATCACAGCTAGATGGAACAGATAGTTTAGCATAAGTAGTTAGTGCATAGTGTAAGGCACCATTCAAGGTAGAGTGGTCCATTAACACCTCTGCAGTCATAGGACAAAAAAGTCATAGTAGGTGTTAATGGGCCACACTACCCTGAGTGGTCCCTTAAAATATGTGCTAACTACATCTGGTGATCAATCTGTTCCATCTTGCATTTAGCTGTGAGGCTCGGAGTACCTGTCCCAGACCTGAAGGAGACCTCTGTGTGGCTCTAAAGCAGGGGCGGCCAACCTGAGCCTGAGAAGGAGCCAGAATTTAACGATGTACATTGCCAAAGAGTCACAGTAATATGTCAGCAGCCCCCCATCAGCTCCCACTCCCTGCTCCCAGCGCCTCCCACCCACCAGCAGACCCGCTAATCAGCACCTCCCTCCCCCTCCCCGCACCTCCCGATCAGCTGTTTCGGGGCATGCAGGAGGCTGGTGGGGAGAGGAGGGCAAGGTCTTTGGCACAGCCAGGGGTTGAGTAGTGAGCACCCCCCACCAACTGGAAAGTTGGTGCCTATAGCTCCAGCCCCGAAGTTGGTGCCTATACAAGGAGATGCATATTAACTTCTGAAGAGCCGCATGCAGCTCCGGAGCTACAGGTTGGCCACCCCTACTCTAAAGCTTGTCTCTCATCAACAGAAGTTGGTCCAATAAAACAGGAGTTCCCAAAAGGGATATGTGAGACATCTCTGGGAGATTTGCGGGAGAAATTATGTAATAGTTTATTTTATTTATTGCATTCTCATAATAGGCTATTCAGATGAAGTTTTAAAACTGAGAATTTGTTATATCAAATACAGTAATTAACTTACTTCAAGATGTACCAGTGAGAACACAGAGATGCTGACGTACAGAGCCCTTACCTCCAATCACTGACAGCATCTGTCCAGTCTAACTGAGCTTAGAACTTAATCAGGGTTTTTTTTCGGTTATACGTGTCATACTATAACTATATTTGTACGTAACAGTGAAATATGGACAGATGGCTAAAGAAAGGTAGTGTTAAGAAGAACACACAAAGTATCAATGATGAGAAGGGTAGTGTTCATGGGCAGCTGGTAGATCTGGACAGGGGTACACGGCAGCTGGTAGATCTGAAAGGAGGAGGTACGCAAATAAGAACAGTTTGGGAACCTCTGCAATAAAAGTTATTACCTCACCCACCTTGTCTCAGGGAATTTCCTGTCATTCCAGTTTTAGCATGTTCTTTGAAGGAAAAAAGTGTTACATAAATATAAAATATAAAATCTACGAAGTTTTTTTTTTAAAGAAAAAGTTGATTCTATATTACAATAAACTGACTTTTTTTGTCTTCATATAATCACTTAGACCATGATCCTGCCAGGAACTCCCCATGGGTGCAGGAGTTCATCCACTCAGAGCTTCGTGTAGAATTGGGTCCTTATTCTGTCATATGAAAATGTTCTGTGTTTTGTATAAAAGACTAAATGCAGTGGTTATGTATTAATCATCCTTTAATCTTTGCACAAGATGATTTACAGGGCTATGGTATATAAGTCTGGAAAAGATAAAATCTGAAAAAAACATAATATAGGATAAAGAATTGATCTGTGTATCTAATGACCTCATTTCATTGAATACACTGCATTTGAAGAAATGCTTTTTAACTTCTGTTTTTATTGCTCTACCATATTTGTATTTTAGAAAGTTGAACATTTTGCCCTATGAAAGGGCCACTGCCAACGTCAATTTTAAAAAGAGCAATTTTTGATACATCACTTCATATTTGTCCTGCCTTTAAAAAAAAAAATCATTTTTTTAAAATGAGTTTTTCCTATATGCCTTCTGCCTTTAAGATCCTATGGGCATCCTGAGCACAACAACACTGAACATAGTTGTGGTCCACCTGTTTCCCCCTTTCTTTTTAAGTATACGAGTACATCTACCTCTTCAGTTTCAGCTTTGCTGCTGCTATTACAAACAAATGCCCTCTGCAGAGGGTAATGAAGAGTCTGCATGTAAGCCCCCAACTAGAGCAATGCAGAAGAGTCATGCACCTGATCTTAAAGCAGTGAAATTCACTGCACCTAAAGAGTTATCAAATACACAAAGTGAACAAGATGGAAAAATGACACATTTCTCTAATTTCTTCCAATTACTGGTAAAAATAAATGAAATAAAAATAGGTACAAATTGTTCAGTTGAAAGTATGTTTTTAACATTGGTTACAAAATGACTGATTTTTACTTAAAACAGCAGGTATTCTTCTAAATGCTTCTGTTACACACTATTTTCATAGTCTCCTTTTCTAATGTAAATGAAACACTACTGCACTGTATTAATATTCCCTTAGGCCTATCATGGTCACCATCAAGCTCTGGAAGTACTGGTGCAGTCTTTGTTGGACCTTGATGTGAGGAACAATAATGGAAGGACACCATTGGATCTTGCAGCTTTTAAGGGACATGTGGAGTGTGTGGATGTACTTATTAATCAGGGAGCATCAATCTTAGTGAAAGACTATGTTGTAAAGAGAACTCCAATACATGCTGCAGGTACGTTCTGCTGAACACAAGAGCATGGGTTTGGGGTTTATATTTCTGTGGCATTAACAGAGATTACATTTAAAATTATGTTCTGCACTGTGGAGGATGAGGAAGAGCATGAGGTAGTGGGAGTGCCTTAGCTTAGTAAGAGAGAGAGTGCCTTAGTCAGATGTCTTCCTTGGGCTCTGGAGGAGAGTAGTACCTCTGCCATCCACAAAATCAGGGGTGGACAAACTACGCCTGGCCACGCCTCCGCGTAGGAGCTGGAGAAGGGACCTGCTGCTGCTGCTTCCGGGAGCCGCTTGAGGTAAGTGCCCCCCACCCCGGAACCCCCTCCCACACCCTGAACTCCTCATTTCTGGACCCACCCCAGAGCCCGAACCCCCAACCAGAGCCCTCACCCCCTCCTGCACCTCAACCCCAATTTTGTGAGAATTCATTGCCCGCCATACAATTTCTATTCCTAGATGTGGCCCCTGGGTCAAAAAGTTTGCCCATACCTGCATTAAATGGATGCAGCATGCATTTCCCTCCATGCCAAACAGCTGTGCTGTCCTGGATGTGTGGGGGTGAATGACTTGGTCATGGCCCTGCCTTTTGTAAATAGGACACTGAAGTGTTGAAATATGTTGTGTAATTTACCTGTCATAATTTGTGGATAGCATCAAACAGTGTTTTGCTTTTAATCTGTATCTTGGAGAGCTCTGGCAGTTTTATGAGGAGAGAAGTTTGATACTTTTTACTCAGTGCTTCAAAGATTAATGTGACTGAACTCTTACTGAGTTTCTGAAAAAAATTAATGTTGATAGTGATTTTTAATTCTTTCTCTCCGTCTCTCACTTCTCCCTGTGGTTTCCCCCAAAGATGCATTATTAAGAGATACTTAATTATTCATTCCTTTTTTGACTTTTTGCAAGTGAACTTTACCTTTTTTTTTAAGTTGGCAATGGCGTAGTAGTAAATATGTCATTTAAAATGTCTTGGTAAAAAGAGCAGTCCATTAACAATATCAGATGGCCATAAGAGAGAGAGCCACTTTTTTTTCTCCTTGAACACTAGTTTTATTCTTCTATTTTTTTTCTCCCTCCTTTCAGCTTCCATTAGCACCATTCTCAGATTTGCCAGACAGGTCGTTGCTGAGCAACATGAGGTGTATCCTACTTTTGGGGCAGAGTACAGTAGCCAGGAAGCAAACTTTACCTCTTAAGAACTCCTTTTAAATGCAGTTTCCCTAACTTTCCTCTTCTTGGCTTATCCCTCCGACTAATTGTGTAGCTGTTCGCCTACCCCTCTCGAGTGTGATCTCACTTCCCATCCCTTACAAATACACACACAATACATTAGCATTTAAACCTGTGTGTGGTAGGTTAGACAAGGACTCACTTGCTTTAAATAAATAGTTGTGTTAATGAGTATTTATAAGGAATGAAAGTGAAGCACTATTTCTTGTTAAACTAACATAGGCATGAACTGTTCCTATAGTTATGGTTAATATTCTCATCCTTATATACATACAAAAGAAGAAAAGTTCAGTTGTTAATGACTACCTTGAAACCATCATATTCTGTTCAGTTGTAATATAGTTCTATGGATTTTGAATATTTAACTGTTAAAAACATGTTTGAGTATTGGATATAAGGTCAAAGATTTCCTGTTTTCAAATTAAGTTATAAATGCTGACCCCATTATGGCCAATGAGTGCTCATATTAATGGCTTTAGTAGAAGCTGACATCCTCAGTTTGTTAATACTGTTTGTATTTTCATACCCAAGGACAACAAACATGATATGCTGATTGTTTTTATAACATTTTACAGCTACAAATGGTCATTCAGAATGCTTGCGATTGTTGATAGGCAATGCGGAACCACAGAATGCAGTGGACATTCAAGATGGAAATGGACAGTAAGTTGAAGAAGTCCATATTCTGATTTTTCACAAGATATTGCATCCTATAATATACATTATAGCTTCTGCACCCCATAGCAAAAAAAAAAGGGTCATTTTCCATTGGTGGGTTTTTTTTAATTTTTTTATTTTTATTTCTTTAAATGGAGAGACAACTAGGATTAATGTAGTTTGTGTCTGAGTACCACAGATGTAAATTTCACAGAATTTTGATAGTCATTCCACAGGAAACAAATTAAGATTACTCTGTTCACTAAACACTGAGAAAATAGGCCCTAGAGACGTAATTAGCTTTTTTATGTTACACTCTTAGGGCTTAGCTACACTGGCAAGTTAGAGCAAATTAAAGGAGCCCCAGGCACACTGGCAAGACCCGTAGAGCGCTCTGACTCAGTGACTAGAGCGCTCCTGCTACTCCACCTTGGCAAGTGGAATAATGTTTTGTGCACCCCCGCTGGAGCACCGCGGCGCCAGTGTGGACGCCCTGGTCCGTTAGTGTGCTCTGATTGGCCTCCAGAAGTGTCCCACAATGCTTGTTCTAGCCATTCTGGTCATCACTTTGAACTCTACTGCCCTGTCTTGGGGTGACCCAACCATCAGATTCGCCCTTTACAATTCTCTGGGAATTTTGAAAATCCCCTTCCTGTTTGCTCAGCCAGGCGTGGAGTGCTCTCAATGAATCTTTCCAGGTGACCATGCCTCCACACACCAGGCGATCCCCAGTATGGAGCAATGGCAAGGTGCTGGACCTCATCAGTGTTTGGAGGGAGGAAGCTGTCCAGTTCCAGCTGTAGGAATTACGATACCTTCGGGCAGATATCAAGGGACATGATGGAAAGGGGCCATGATCGGTACGCACTGCAGTGCAGGATTAAAGTGAAGGAGCTGCGGCATGCCTACTGCAAAGCCCGCAAGGCAAACAGCTGCTGCGGTGTTGCCCCTGTGACCTGCCGTTTCTACAAGAGCCGGACATGATACTTGGGGGCGACCCCACCTCCACTCCAAGTACCACCATGGACACTTCAGAGCCCAGCTCAACAAGGCAGGAGGAGGAGCAGCAGCAGAGCGGGAGCGAGGGTGCCGAGGTGGAGGAAGACACCCCGGAATCCCTAGATGCATGCAGCCAGGAACTGCTCTCAAGCCAGGAGGAAGGTAGCCAGTTGCGGCAGCTGGTGCTTGGGGAAGGACAAACACCAGAGGAGGTTCCCAGTAAGCGGCTTTTATTTTGGGAAGAAAGTTATTTGCTGCAGGCTCTTAGAATGAGAGGGGTTAGGGCTGCATGCATGCCTAGATGCAGAATAGAGCATTGATGTGCTCTCTCACATCGCAGTAATAGGTCTCAGTGATCTCTTCAAAAGTTTCGTCCAGAACTTGGGAAATGCGCTTACGCAGGTTTCTCAGAAGAGCCACTGTGTTTCTTGTCCCAGTAAGGCTAACTTGTCCACGCCACTGTGCCGTGAGGGGCAAGGGGACCATTGCTGCACACAGGCAAGCTGCATATGGGCCAGGGTGGAATCCGCATTGCAGTAGAAGGCCCTCCCTTGCTTCCCAGGTCACCCTCAGCAGCGAGATATCTTCCAGGACGAACTCCTGTGGAAAATGTGGGGACAGTGTTCAGTATAGAGGCCCCCTGCTGCTGTTGGCTTTTCCCCAAGGCACAGAAATCCAGAGGACAGTACAGCCGTGAAACAATCAGACACGCTTGATCCTGTGCTTACTCACCATTTTGGGGCTCCCAAGGGTTATGTGCGCTTGCTTTGGGACAGGCAAATTATGCTATTGTGTATCCTGTGCTTGCCCTTAAGTACCGGGGAATCATTATTCTGTCTGGTGTGAACAATGGTGCCTCTGTTAAGTGTTGCATTTTGCCTTTAGAGATGCAACCTTGAGATTTCAGCCGTCCGTGGTATCACCAGCCGAAAGACTCCAAAGAATCAGAAAGAAGTCACATAGAAGCAGGGAAAACATGTTGCATGAAGTAATGCAGCATTCAAGTAATGAAAATTGAAAAGTGCAGGAGTGGCAGGACAGTGAAAGGAGAATCTGCCAGCAGAATGAGGAGCGCTGGCACAAAAGCACGGTGCTCTGGCAGCAAAGCATGGATCGGCTGATAAGCATAATGGAGCGCCAGGCAGACTCAATCCAGGTGCTTGTAGCCATGCAGGCAGAGCACTACTGTTTCCGACCCCCCCTGCAGCCCTTTTCCCAAAACTCTTTCCCTTGTGCCCCCATGTCATCTCCAACCCACCTTCCCCAACATCCGGGTTCTTACCACCACCAGCTGCCTCCAACACCTGTAGCTTCACCACCCAGCCCTGAAAAACTATGACCCTTACCCACTGCACTCCACCCCCAGCACCATGCAGTATAGCCATCCTGAAGTGCAGCACTCATTACACACTCCAGACAGGAAGGCTGAGTATGATAACAGGACATATGCAAATCTGTGATTGTACTGTTCCCCACCCCACCTCCTGGCCCTTTCTGTTTCCCAAGCAGTTGTTTCTTTTCAATAAATGGGTTTTTTTGGCTTTGAAAACTTACTTTATGCAATAAAAAAGAATGATACCTTAGCCCAGGAAAAAAACAGGCACTGCAAGTCAGCATAGCGAACACCGATTCCTACTAACATTGGAACCACTGCACTTCACTCCCGTGCAGGGCACCAGACATTACTGGTGGCTTTCAGCTTCAAATTGCTCCCTCAAGGAATCCCTAATCCTTGCAGCCCTGCGCTGGGTCCCTCTAATAGCCCTGCTCTCTGGCTGTTCAAATTCAGCCTCCAGGTGTTGAACCTCCGAGTTCCATGCCTGAGTGAATCGTTCACCCTTCCCTTCACAAATGTTATGGAGGGTACAGCACGCGGATATAGCTGTGGGGATGCTGTAAGGTCCAGCTTCCCATACAGAGAGCGCCAGTGGCCCTTTAAACGGCCAAAAGCACACTCCACAGTCATTCTGCACCGACTCAGCCTGTTGTTGAACTGCTCCTTGCTGCTGTCAAGGCTCCCTGTGTTTGGTTTCATGAGCCATGGCATTAAAGGGTAAGCAGGGTCTCCAAGGATCACAATGGGCTTTTCAACTTCCCCTATGGTGATCTTCTGGTCTGGGGAAAAATGTCCCGGCTTGCAGCTTCCTGAACAGGCCAGTGTTCCGAAAGATGCATGCGTCATGCACCTTTCCGGGCCAGCCTGTGTCAATGTCAATGAAACGCCCATGGTGATCCACAAGTGTCTGGAGAACCATAGAGAAATACCGCTTCCGATTAACATACTCGGAGACTAGGTGAGCTGGTGCCAAAATTGGAATGTGTGTGCCATCTATCGCCCCTCCGCAGTTAGGGAAACCCATTTGTGCAAAGCCATCCACAATGTCACGCACGTTACCCAAGGTTCTTCCAAACAGGATGCAATTAATGGCCCTGCAAACTTGCATCAACACGATTCCAACGGTCGACTTTCCCACTCCAAATTGGTTGGCGACCGATCAGTAGCTGTCTGGAGTTGCCAGCTTCCAGAATGCAATAGCCACCTGCTTCTCCACAGTCAGGGCAGCTCTCAATCTCATCTCCTTGCGCCGCAGGGCGGGGGCGAGCTGCTCACACAGTCCCAGGAAAGTGGCGTTTCTCATCCGAAAGTTCTGCAGCCACTGCTCGTCATCCCAGACTTGCACAACAATGTGATCCCACCACTCAGTGCTTGTTTCCCGAGCCCAAAAGCAGCGTTCCGTGGTGTTGAGCATGTCTGTGAATACCACAGGCAAACTCGTGTCATATGGGTTACTCTAATGGATATCGTCGGTGCCCTCACTGTCACTTTGGATCATAAGGAATAACTCCACTGCCAAACGTGACGAGACTCGTCAGCATACTCTTCAGCAGTTCAGGCTCCATTCCCGCAGATTGAAAGAGAAGACAGTGCGCGCCACATGTGGATGGAAGCACAGGGATTGCTGGGATGCGAACCGATGCATCATGGGGCGTTGGGACAGGACCAGAATGCCCTGCACTCCCTACCCCTTCCCACAAGCCACAGTGCCAGAATGGGAAGAGGTGCTCTGTGGGATAGCTGCCCATAATGCACCGCTCCCAAGCCGCTGCAAGTGCCACAAATGTGGCCACACCAGTGCACTTGTTCCTGTCATTGTGGACAGACTGCAGCGCTTTCCCTACTGCGCTCTCCAAAGGCGGGTTTAACTCAAAGCGCTCTACATCTGCAAGTGTATCCATGCCCTTAGAAATAAGTTTACCTTCTTATGTCTAAACAAAATATCAGTGCTGCTTTTGTGATTAGTTTACAAAGTGCTATTCACTAATGGATCAGTTGTTGAAGAGCTTTCTCTAGGAGGACAAAAGTTGTTTCTGGAGTTTTAAGTATTTTAGCTGACCACTAGACTATTAAAGTGTAACCTGCATGGAAACTCTTTTCTCTCACTGTTCAGGACTCCTCTGATGCTGTCTGTTCTCAATGGGCACACAGATTGCGTTTATTCATTGCTTAACAAAGGAGCAAACGTAGATGCCAAAGATAAATGGGGAAGAACTGCATTGCATAGAGGGGTAAGAAAATATTTCCCTTTTGTCATTTCCAAAAAAGTGTATCAATTTTAAATACAAATTGAGAATGTCTGCAGTTTTGTATCATTGCTGAATTTATTATTCTTTTTTTAATTCCACTGACATTCGTGTTTTGCTGTTCTTGGTTGGTCTTCTCTTTTATTGCATTTGAGTGGTTAGATGTTTGCCTTTTTGCATTTCACCTTCAGTGTTGTTTGTACCTTTTGATTCACTTCCACTTGCAGAAGCACATTAGCTAGAAAATTCAAAGGTATCTTTTTTGTTGCGGGGGGGAGGTGGAGGTGGGGGAGAGTATTGGAGGGAGGAAGAAAATAATTCCTTTTTTTGTGTTTTCTATGTACAATATGCCACATGTTTCTTTAAAGTCCATGCCAGATACTGCAATTAAGGAGGCCCTGGGGATTAGCATCTCACTTTAGGCCATCGCAAAAGGAAAACATACCCTATCACTAAGCTAATAATTACTGAATTTTTCTTTGCAGAGCCCACTTACTGAAGTAAGAATGACTGGGCTTATTTTGTAGTTGCCTGCTCTCAATATTATATGTTAAGGCAGTAACAGAATTTTTTTTCTTCAGTTGCACGTGTATGTGTGCACATGCATATTGTATCTTTCTTTTCCAGGCAGTTACAGGGCATGAGGAGTGCGTGGAAGCATTGCTTCAACATGGTGCTAAGTCCTTGCTACGAGACTGCCGAGGGCGAACACCTATACACTTATCAGCTGCATGTGGGCATATTGGTGTTCTAGGAGCTCTCTTGCAGTCAGCAACATCTGTGGATGCAGTACCTGCCATAGCAGACAATCATGGATATACATCACTGCACTGGGCCTGTTATAATGGTAAGTACAATGGTAAAGTGGTCTTAAATTCAAAGCTTTCGGGGCAGAAATCTGTATGTAGGTGTAGATCCTAGCTCAGTGGAGCCCCAATATTGATAAGAGCATCTAAGCAATACCATAATATAAATATTAATAATAAAAAGTGTGAAACAGATGGTGCACTATTCATAAAGCAAACTAAAGAGACTGGAGTCTTTTATTGTCATTAATTCTGAAAAGTGAATAAGCTTTCTGAGCGGATTTGTTGCATTTATTTTACCATTCATTCCAAAGCAGTGTACTTAGCACTTTCTTGCAAGAGAGATGGACTTTTTCTCTCTAGTGCTTCAAACATTCTCTGTCTTGCAAACTTAAGCACAATTGGAAGTAAGAAGACAGAACTCTTACAAAGCTAGCACATATAAGGTAACCGAGGAGCAAACAGATCAAGGGGAAAAGTTCAGAAACAAAATAGAACCAATTTACAAGCTGGGCTTTATAAGGTTTAGAATCTGTCTAGCTGTTAAGCAGATACAGGGCATGTTTAATCATACAGTATCCTGTTCTTTTATTCATATTATCTTGGGGGGAAAGGTATGTATCATTCACAAAAACACAAATCATTACATACCCAGATTTCAGATGTGCAAAATAGGTAACTGGACACAAATGCATGATTTGTGTGTGTATCAAAAAAATTTGATCAAAGTATATCTCTTAATATTTACATCACTCCTATGCATCCATCCACAGTCGAACCTCAGAGTAACGAACGTCTCTGGTATGGAGGTTGTTTATAACTGAACAAAACATTTTGGTGGTTCTTTCAAAAGTTTACAGCTAAACATAGACTTAATACAGCATTGAAACTTTACTATGCAGAAGAAAGTGCTGCCTTTAACCGTCTTAATTTAAATGAAACAAGCACGGAAACAGTTTCCTTACCTTGTCAAATCCTTTTTTAAACATTCCCTTTACATTTTTAGTAGTTTACGTTTAACACAGTACTGTATTGTATTTGCATTTTTTGTTTGGTTTTTTTGTCTCTGCTGCTGCCTGTTTGCAAACTTCCAGTTCCAAAGGAGGTGTGTGATTCACTGATCAGTTCGTAACTCTGGTGTTTGTAACTCTGAGGTACTATTGTACTAACTGTGACAAATCTTCATTATAGGAAAGGCTCTCAACTCTTGTGAATCACTGAATATATACCATTCTATTGACATATATTTGAGTCGGTTTCTAAATATTATGAAACAACCCTTCAGCCTATATTTAATGGGAGCAGGGTCAAGCCATTAGTTGAATAATTTTTAAATAAATTGAATGTATTTTTGTATATTAACTCTAATATGATATACTGTCTCTGTGCTCATTTGTGTTTTAATATGTACTTTTTAAAAAGTAGTAAAAATGTTGAAAAATAAAAGAGAAAATGTGGGTAGGATAGCACTGTTGAAGCAGAAATCGTCCCACTTATCCCAAGAAATTATTTTAATTAGGAAGTAGTTTAATCAGAATAAAATAATTCCGCATTAACTCATCTTGAAGTATTTCACTGATATCATAAGATCCTTCTGCCTCAGATCAAACCACATGTACAAGTATTTGAAGAACAAAAGGCATCAGGAAGGGTCATAGCATTTCCCCTTCCTTTTGCTTGCTGCCTCAGTACATTCTGGAGGGTCAGAGGTTCGTTCAGAGCTTTTGCTTAATGACACAGCCACAACCTAATAATCTTCACAGGTAATTAAGGTTCTCATTTACTTCATTTTCTGCCTTTCTCCAAACTGTTAATTAGCGAAGTAAGAGCTTAAAGCTCATTTTCTAATTAGTGCTAAGGGAATAGAGAAACAGCCTATACTTCTAGGCAAAGTTACAGACTATATCTCTAAGACTAATTTTACTGAATAGAGTAAGAATAAACTAAAATTACTAGATTTCCAAAATGACATTGTGCAAAACTAAATTATGAATGGTTGATGAGTAAGGCTACGCTTTAGTCATGGGTGTTTTTAGTAAAAGTCTCTGCCAGTAAACAAAAAGTCACTGCCCGTGACCTGTCCATGGCTTTTACAATATAGCCCTCACTGAAACTTGGGGGAGGGAGGGTTGCCTGGGGGTGGGCGGGGGGCGGCCCAGGACCCCCGCTCTGCCCGCCCCCCCCCAGCAGGAGCAGAAGAGTTTGGGTGTGGGAGGGGGCAGGGCGTTGGGGCACAGGATGGGGTGAGGCAGGTTCTGGGAGGCGCTTACCTGGAGCGCTCCCCAGAAGTGGCGACATCCCCCTTGCTCAGCCCCTAGGCGGAAGTGTGTCCAGATCCCGGGCCAGGCACACCAGCAGGCTACAGAAGCCATGACAAACTCACAGCCTTATTGATGAGTGATCCACTCTGAATTTGACCACAGTGTCTCAGTGCGACAGAAAAATTGGATGTTTTCATTCCATAACCATCTAGCCTTTAGTTTCATGTCAAACTACTGTGAGATGCGAACATATATGCAATCTCTAGCTAGAGCTACTTCCTACAAAAAATAAAATTAAAGTAATATGCATTGTTTAGATTTCATGTGCATAAGTTTGTCTAATTTAAAAAAATCAAATTAGTCAACATTTAAGTTTTAGAGAGAAGGAAGACTACCTTTCATTTCTGCATAGTCTGTTTTACATCTGTTCATGATGTATGCAGTCTCGTTATCTGTATCTTGAAAAATAAAAACATTTAGCGTTCTAAACTGCAGTTTCTTTAAAATTGTCAAAATTGCAGAGACTGTGAAAAGAAATTCTAAGAAATTAGTTAAAATCGGTCTTACTAGGCAAATCTTTTACTAAAAATATCAAATAAAATAAATCCAAGGAGTTTTATGCGGAGGAGTTTAGGTAGGATTACTAGCCCTGAGACTGTTTTTTGTCAAGCTATTGAAGCAAGAAGTAATAAATACATTTTCCTTGGTGTATTTTGCAAGGGTGCATTGGAGTTGAATTTTGACTGACTACTATGTATCTGTGCTCTTACTTCTGTGGGAGCTTAGTCCCTGAAAAAAAGAGGTGACAACAGCAATGGAAACAGATGAAATGGGTTGAGTTAAATCTGCTTCTTCAGGGTTGGCATTTGGGTTAGAATGTGAGCTTTGATCTTGTTCAAACAGATTGCAGAGTTCACCACAATAGTTTTCTTAGTATATACAGCCTGCTGCGTACTAATATGTGATAGACAATAAGCAAATTAAACATGTTTGGTTGTAAGATTTCAAAGATAGTTGTTTTAATGTGTGGTTAAGTAATGGATCTGATGATGATTTGGGGACAAGTGTAAGCATATTTTTTGTTTTGGCCAATGAGTAATGTGGACTAGATTTTATATATCTTTCTTTTTGTCTTTGCCAGTGATAATGATATCCTGGAAAGGATCCTTGAACATGCAGGACTAAACTCTAGAAACACAATGCTGTGGCATCCAAGATTGGCTTCTTTATTTAGAATCTTTAAAAACTTGCTTTTTATGGTGCAGTAATTGACAAACATTGGTTTAAAATATCTTTGACGCAGGAAACGAGCCAAGGAACAAAATATCCTTCTACAAATTGAGGCAGATCCTCAAAATATTTAATGTTTTCCTTTGCTTTCGTTATGTGATTGGAAAGCTCTGATTAACAGTAAATAGGAAGATGAAAATTGCAGTTGTGCTTGAGTGGAGAAAACTAAGCTGTTTGGTGTAGCCCTTATCTATAGTTACAGGTTATTTTAAATAATTACCCACTCCAATCTGAGGGTTTATACCCAGTCTGTGAGGGTTCAGCTCCAAAATCAAGTACAGTGGAGAGGTTATCAATAGAAGGGGGGCCATGGAGCACAATAGGGACAACAAAGTCTCTTTTTGTAACACTTACTTTTTATTGGCCAACCAAACAGTATACACACAGCAGTCCGGTAAAGGAGAGCGAGAACAATACGAAACATCTAGCATTTGCTTTACTTACACCATCCGTTGTGGAAAAACCCAAAGAGTCAGTCATCATCCTCATTGTCATCATTCTCAGCAGCATTAGCAGCAGCAGCAGTGGTGGTCATCCAGGGATCTCCTCAAGCACGCAGGGCCTGATACATCTTTTATAATGTTTCGCTGACACCCACTTGGTTCATATGTATTGATGAAGGCTTAAACCCCTTTTACTTACTTGAACTTCCATATCCCACTACCTTTGGCATGACCCAGTTTTCTTGGGCTAACTTGTTAGTTCCCCTTATACTTGTTAACATGTACATCTCTCAGTTACCATACTGGTGGTTAGGACATTGCTGATGCTTTGTTTGCAAAATCCCCCAAATACTCTGAGCGGCTTTAACTGATACATTGCCACATATTTCCTAAATTTCAGCAGCTGACTGTTTCGTCTTATGATATAGAGTCAGTCATTGGCTGACACGAGTAACTAACCAGTCTTCAGGCCTAGGGCCTTGTTTGGCTAAGGTATATATTTTACAAGCCTAAGGCTGTAGGCCTGTGTTACAACATTAATTCATTCTTACATTTCACCTCTGTAATCTAAATATGCATGATATCATTTATCCTTGGCTAATTGGTATTTGTCTGAAGAATCAGTGAGAGAATTTCCAGTATGACACATAGAGGCTTATCAGCATTGTCATCCATATCAGTTTCAGTGGCATTATTTATGGCCAAACTCCAGGAAAAATTCCACTAGGACGATGTCCCTTTCAGAGAGAGATGAAACACTGCAATCTAAAGTTTTTTTTCAGTTGGGTAAGGATGCAGGAGAGACCCTTGTCCCTCCAACATATGAGCAGACAGTTCAGGAGAGAAGAAGATTATCAAAATCAAGAAGCAGATGTTTTCTTGCTGCCTTTATATAGAAGGAGCTTACACCTAAGAGAGGACTGTAAATGTTTGAATAAATATCACTGTGTATGCAAGGAATATATACTGGGATAATTAATTACAGTGAATAATATAGAAGCAAGAACATATTTGCTTTGTAATTTTACAGTTTAAATTATTTTAAAGTTTGGGTCATGATTCCTTTCAGCCCATGTTGTGGATGTACTCAATTTGTGACTCCACGTTATTCAGCAGTTCAGTGGGGAAAAAAAGCAAACCCCAAAAAACATTTGTTTCCACTAGAGAAAGGAGTACAACAGAAGAAAATCTTCCAACTGGACTAAGTGGTTAGTCTGTTGAATTAACTGTAAAGCTACCATATTATAAGAGCTAAGTTAGCTAAACATTCTTCATGTGCCCCAGACAATGCATCATGACTTCAAAGTTCATAAATTTCTTCAGTACTGGGCCTAATATTCTGATTGTACTTGTGGCTTCCAGATTCCTAAAAATGCACTGTGTTTTTGTTCATCCCCAGATATAGCCATATCTAAAGTAATTCAAGTGTGCATTTGAGACTTTCAAATGAAATGTCATTTAATTTACCTTAGCTGTGTTTGTTGGTTGTTTTTGTTTTTAATATCTGATTTTAAAACTTTTAGGTCATGACAGCTGTGTAGAGCTTCTTCTGGAACAGGAAGTTTTCCAGAAAATGGAAGGAAATTCTTTCAGCCCATTGCATTGTGCTGTGTAAGGAAGTCCAAGATTACTGTAACTGATTTCATTATAATATTTAATAAAAGCACAATCATTCTCTAAGTAACAGCCTGTTTAATTTTTTAATAGGATAAATGACAATGAAGGTGCTGCAGAAATGTTAATTGATACGTTGGGTGCTGGCATTGTAAATTCAACAGATGCAAAAGGAAGGTAGGAATATAACTGCACTTAGAAACAGTGCACTACAAACAGTAATCTCCTTGTTTTTGTGTCACAGCTTTAATGTTTTTTAAACTTATTTGGCATATTCGTCTTTTCTATTTAAAGACTTTTTTTGTTATATACTAAAAATGTTGTTGGGGATTTTTAAAAACCTTGTATTGTGTTGTTAGAGCCGAATTGATTTTTAATTTTGTAGGAGAGCTTGGGCATTTTTATAATTGCATAAACATTTGTGCAATATAAATCTTTATGCCCATTAACTATATTGTCCATTTTATTTTTCTAAGTCATCCTTGTCCATATTATGGACTTACTGGTTGCTAAATATTCATTTTAAATTTGAGGCCAATTATTTTTAAAAACAGAAAAATGATCTTCTAATAGCAACTGTGACCACTCTACCAATAACAACATCAGTGTATTTTTATGGTAGTGACTGCCCACACTGGTACAATTGCAGGATTACAGTCAAAGTTTGCATCTGTGAATAAAACATTATGTATGTTTCCTGGATGTAAGCCCATTTCCTCTTGATTTCTTTTAGAACCCCCCTTCATGCAGCAGCTTTTACAGATCATGTGGAGTGTTTACAGCTTCTACTCAGTCATAATGCTCAAGTAAATGCTGTAGATTCTTCTGGAAAGACTCCTCTAATGATGGCTGCAGAAAATGGGCAAACTAACACCGTTGGTAAAGAGAGAGCTTAAATATCTTCTACTTTAACTTTTAATAATGTACAGTAATATTATACTATAGATATTGTTACTTTAAAATTACCATATGTTATGCATTCACACATTTATTAGAAGTATATTATTTTAGGTTTTAATCTTCATTTTATAAAGTGGAAAATTGATAATTCCTTTAGGAACACACTATTTAGTTAATGCAAACTTTTATTTCCTTCAGAGGTGCTGGTTAGCAGTGCTAAGGCTGATCTGACCTTGCAAGATAGCAGTAAAAACACAGCACTCCATTTGGCTTGCAGCAAGGTGTGTGTCAGTTTCTATTTGAGCCCTTTTTTGCATGTTAATGAGAAACTATTTTTCAAGATATGATCTTTGTCAAACTCTGTAAAATCTCCAGAAACTACTTCAAAAAGACATACAAAACAGTTTCTTCAATGAGTGTTATCTGACAAACATGTTTCCTGTATATTTAGGGTCATGAAACTAGTGCCTTGTTAATACTGGAGAAGATTACGGATAGAAACCTCATCAATGCCACCAATGCAGCCTTGCAAACGTATGTATGGCCACTGAACAATATTTTACAGTCAGATTTTCAATATATTTCTGCTGTTAGTAAAACTAATAATTATATAAACAATTTTAAGTGTTCAGGTTTCCATCTGAATAAGAGAGAGAATGTTGGAAAAATCTTATGCCATCATGGCTCAAGGAATTCTACTAGGAATGACAACAATCTTATGAGATGATCTAGAGGATAGTAGTCTTGTGTGTTGATTCTTTATAAGCACTATTCAGCTTTTTCTATTAAAAATTAAATAGTAGTTAATTCCAATGATCGTTACAAATATCTAATTTGCTGTTTTAAAAAAAAGGAGGGTGACTTAACTAATTATAAAAATACTAGCTGGAGAATACTTTTTGTTTACCTTTATTAAAACAATGTGACAATATGGTATTTTCTAGCTAACATTATGTCTAAAAACTTTTATCTCAGAACCCTATTTTTTGAGCCTGGTTATCGGGAAATTCAAAATTTAAGAATCATTTCATTCTATAAAGCTGTGAAATGTATTTGGAACTGGGATGGAGGATTTTAATAACTGATTCCTCTGGGTTTTTTCTCTTAAGTGATATTGGCAGCTTAGAACATGGATTTCTAAAATCTTTTAATTAGGCCTTACATTTTTATGTTTTCTTCTGATTGTTATCAGGGTTGCTAAACGACTCTTGGGTGTTTTAGCATTTAGCAACCCTGTCATGTGTTCCTGCTCCTCTGTTGGAATCTCTCTCATCCAATTGTTGCTCAGTGGATTTCCTTACAGTATCACCTTCTGTCAATTAGGGGCTGCTTTGATTTGGGAATTAGACAGGTAGGCTGCTGTTCTTTGCTGCTCACCATGCTGGATCTTAAGCAGCATGGAACACACTAAGCAAGAAGAAGAGTGAAGATGAGGTGATGGCTGGTTGCCCTGGTGCTTGGCTAATGAGAGGCAGAAAGAGGTGGAGAAAAAACAAACTGGGAGACAAAAGGGGGAACAAAATAAGATAAAGAGAATGGGGGCACACTAAGGAGGATGGGGACAGTCTCTTCTAACTTCTTCCAAACAACCTGAATCAACCATACGGCTCATGTGCCTCTCCAAGGGAAAATCAGTGACCTTTTTCTCACTGGCAAGAAGTGTCATGCACTTAGCTGCACAAAACTTGAGTAATTTTAATGTTTAAAATATTTTACTGGTATGGAAGCTTATTTTACAATCAGTTACACTGAGTTCCTAAACCAAGTGCATCACATCTTGCTAAAAAACATTACATAATTTGTGATGCACTTGGTTTAGGAACTCAATCCAGTAGGCCCAAATTATAAATAACTTTTTCAAATGGATTTCAGTTTATTCATGGTGTGAAATGCTTCTTACTTCTTGAACTTTAATATTTTGAGCTACAGACAATGGGTGCAATTCTTTTTCATGTAGTGTCCCTGTGGATGCTTCTCTTCAGGTGCACATATGCGCCTCGAGCCCTTGATCGGAGATTTTCAGTTAGCAGTGACCATTCAGCCTACACGTGTTGCCTATGGGTCCTTGTTCTGGATACCAAGGCTGTATAGGGATGTGCTGGCAAACTGCCCTCAGTTCCTTCTCATCTGGGAGGCAGTGACCATGAGTTGGTTGAGTTCAGGATCCTGACGCAGGGAAGAAAGGTAAGCAGCAGGATACAGACCCTGGACTTCAGGAAAGCGGACTTCAGGAAAGCAGACTTCGACTTCCTCAGGGAACGGATGGCCAGGATCCCCTGGGGGACTAACTTGAAGGGGAAAGGAGTCCAGGAGAGCTGGCTGTATTTCAAGGAATCCCTGTTGAGGTTACAGGGACAAACCATCCCAATGAGTCGAAAGAATAGTAAATATGGCAGGCGACCAGCTTGGCTTAATGGTGAAATCCTAGCGGATCTTAAACATAAAAAAGAATCTTACAAGAAGTGGAAGGTTGGACATATGACCAGGGAAGAGTATAAAAATATTGCTCGGGCATGTAGGAATGAAATCAGGAGGGCCAAATCGCACCTGGAGCTGCAGCTAGCGAGAGATGTCAAGAGTAACAAGAATGTTTTTTCAGGTATGTTGGCAACAAGAAGAAAGCCAAGGAAAGTGTGGGCCCCTTACTGAATGAGGGAGGCAACCTAGTGACAGAGGATGTGGAAAAAGCTAATGTACTCAATGCTTTTTTTGCCTCTGTTTTCACTAACAAGGTCAGCTCCCAGACTGCTGCGCTGGGCATCACAAAATAGGGAAGAGATGGCCAGCCCTCTGTGGAGATAGAGGTGATTAGGGACTATTTAGAAAAGCTGGACGTGCACAAGTCCATGGGGCCGGACGAGTTGCATCCGAGAGTGCTGAAGGAATTGGCGGCTGTGATTGCAGAGCCATTGGCCATTATCTTTGAAAACTCGTGGCGAACCGGAGAAGTCCCGGATGACTGGAAAAAGGCTAATGTAGTGCCAATCTTTAAAAAAGGGAAGAAAGAGGATCCTGGGAACTACAGGCCAGTCAGCCTCACCTCAGTCCCTGGAAAAATCATGGAGCAGGTCCTCAAAGAATCAATCCTGAAGCACTTGCATGAGAGGAAAGTGATCAGGAACAGCCAGCATGGATTCACCAAGGGAAGGTCATGCCTGACTAATCTAATCGCCTTCTATGATGAGATTACTGGTTCTGTGGATGAAGGGAAAGCAGTGGATGTATTGTTTCTTGACTTTAGCAAAGCTTTTGACACGGTCTCCCACAGTATTCTTGTCAGCAAGTTAAGGAAGTATGGGCTGGATGAATGCACTATAAGGTGGGTAGAAAGCTGGCTAGATTGTCGGGCTCAACGGGTAGTGATCAATGGCTCCATGTCTAGTTGGCAGCCAGTATCAAGTGGAGTGCCCCAAGGGTTGGTCCTGGGGCCGGTTTTGTTCAATATCTTCATAAATGATCTGGAGGATGGTGTGGATTGCACTCTCAGCAAATTTGCGGATGATACTAAACTGGGAGGAGTGGTAGATACGCTGGAGGGGAGGGATAGGATACAGAAGGACCGAGACAAATTGGAGGATTGGGCCAAAAGAAATCTGATGAGGTTCAATAAGGATAAGTGCAGGGTCCTGTACTTAGGATGGAAGAATCCAATGCACCGCTACAGACTAGGGACCGAATGGCTAGGCAGCAGTTCTGCGGAAAAGGACCTAGGGGTGACAGTGGACGAGAAGCTGGATATGAGTCAGCAGTGTGCCCTTGTTGCCAAGAAGGCCAGTGGCATTTTGGGATGTATAAGTAGGGGCATAGCGAGCAGATCGAGGGACGTGATCGTTCCCCTCTATTCGACATTGGTGAGGCCTCATCTGGAGTACTGTGTCCAGTTTTGGGCCCCACACTACAAGAAGGATGTGGATAAATTGGAGAGAGTCCAGCGAAGGGCAACAAAAATGATTAGGGGTCTGGAACACATGAGTTATGAGCAGAGGCTGAGGGAGCTGGGATTGTTTAGCCTGCAGAAGAGAAGAATGAGGGGGGATTTGATAGCTGCTTTCAACTACCTGAAAGGGGGTTCCAAAGAGTTTGGCTCTAGACTGTTCTCAATGGTAGCAGATGACAGAACGAGGAGTAATGGTCTCAAGTTGCAGTGGGGGAGGTTTAGATTGGATATTAGGAAAAACTTTTTCACTAAGAGGGTGGTGAAACACTGGAATGCGTTACCTAGGGAGGTGGTAGAATCTCCTTCCTTAGAGGTTTTTAAGGTCAGGCTTGACAAAGCCCTGGCTGGGATGATTTAACTGGGAATTGGTCCTGCTTCGAGCAGGGGGTCGGACTAGATGACCTTCAGGGGTCCCTTCCAACCCTGATATTCTATGATTCTATGATCTGCCTTGGCCTGTGACAGAGCCCTAGCATGTCCACATTGACCGTGCCTCAGCTTTTCTAATATTCCTATAGTGATTAAGATAGTGTTTATAGTTGTTAATGTACTTCTAATTAGTCAGTTAGGTAAGTAGCAAGAGGATTATTTTACTCCCTTCTTTCCCCTCAGGGAGATGTATCTTATTCCTGGCTGGGCATACCTGGTTTGCCAGATCTCAAACATTGCCTCTCATGCTGAAAGGCTATACTTGTGAATGACAGCCACTCTGTGTGTGTCTGTTGCTTGAGGGAGTCCTGTGTCTCCCAGAAGGGTAACTTCTGCCTGGCCCTCAACTCCAGGGCAAGGAAAAACAGAGAGACTAAACTCAGACTGGTAATGAAGGAACGCTCCCTTCAGCCAGCTTCTGAGTGCGGTCAGGAGACATCCCATCCCCTCTCCCCCCTCTTTTTGGAGGCTTCAGGGAAGGCTTCCAAAAAGAGGATTGTGGAGTCTCACCTTAAGGAGCCAGCTCCAAATAGGCCCAGTTCCCTGGTGAGATCTACTGTCTCCGAAGCCTTATCCTCTTGACTCAATACTGTTGAATCGAAGGATTCCTCCTCCAGTACTGGTGGGGCCGTAAGGTCCTGTAGCATGAAGGAGAGAAATGACTCCGATAGGCCCTTAGTACCTTCTACCAGTAAGGAAGGCAAAAGCAGAGACACTCAATGATGTTTAGCCCAACCATTGGTACCCATGCATGCAGAATCCTGGGCATCAAGTAAGCAACAGCACCAGACACCATTGGCGTCCACTTTAGTACACCCGCCATCAGTGGTACCACTGGCTACAGCAACTGTGGCCTCAGCTACCGCATTAGTACCAATCCCCTACTCGATACCACAGGAGTTCAGATATACTAAGGACCACTCTATAACGGAGTCCCAGTTCCTCATGAGTACTGAGCATGTTTGAGTACTCAGACTCTGAGCTACTGTTCTCCAATACTGGAGGAGACTCCACTATTTTCTGCAGATAGTCATCCATTGAATGTAATGGAGGGGAGGATGAAGGGAAGTCCCTGCTGGTCTCCTGTTTCTCTATAGGGTTCCCCAACATATCCCTTCAGGAACACATTCTCTGCAAATCATAGGGAAGATTAGGCTCATTATCAAGG